TTTTAAGCAAAATTGGGCAAAATCAGATGTTTATGGAAAATTTCAGATTGCAAGGGGTTAACCTTGCTTTTTAGGAAGATTGGGCAAAATCAGATTTTTATGGAAAATTGCCGATTGTAAGGGGTTAACCTTGTATTTTTAGCAAAATTGGGCAAAATCAGATTTCTTTGAAAAACCTAAAATTGCAAGGGGTTAACCTTTCTTTTTTAGCAACATTTGGTGCATGTTTTCCAAAAATTGGGCAAAATTCAGATGTTTCTGAAAATTTCAGATGTAAGGGGTTAACCTTGCTTTTTTAGTAAAATTGGGCAAAATTAAGATTAATGCAAAATCAGATTTCTTTGAAAACCTAAATTGGAAGGGGTTGACCTTGCTTTTTTTAGCAACATTTGGTACATGTTTTACTAAAATTGGGCAAAATTCAGATTCAGATTCAGTTTCTGAAAAATTCCACATGTAAGGGGTGAACCTTGCTTTTTTAGTAAAATTTGGCAAAATTAAATGTCGATGAGTAAGGGATTAACCTTGCTCTTTTTTTTTGCAAAATAGGGCAAAATCAGATTTTTCTGGAAAAATTCAGATTGTAAGGGGTTACCCTTGCATTTTAAGCAAAGTTGGGCAAAATCAGATGTTTCTGACAAATTTCAGATTGTAAGGGATTAACCTTGCTTTTTTAGTAAAATTTGGCAAAATTAAATGTTTAAGAGTAAGGGGTGAACCTTGCATTTTTTTGCAAAATAGGGCAAAATCATATGTTCTGGAAAATTTCAGATTGTAAGGGGTTAACCTTGCATTTTAAACAAAGTTGAGCAAAATCAGATGTTTCTGAAAAATTTCAGATGTAAGGGATTAGCCTTGCTTTTTTAGTAAAATTGGGCAAAATGAGATGTTTATGAAAAAATTCAAATCGTAAGGGGTTCAAGTTAACATTGCATTGTGTTTAGCAATTGGGCAAAATTAGATGTTTCTGGAAAATTGCAGATTGTAAGGGGTTAACCTTGCATTTTTAGCAAAATTGGGCAAAATCAGATTTTTATGAAAAATCTAAATGCAAGGGGTAAACCTTGCTGGTTTTTTTAGCAAACATTACCAGAACGTTGTCACAAAAGTTGGTACCTTGATCCGGTCTTCACTTTTTCTTTCAAATGGGCCTTGCGGTCGCTGCCGAAGTTAATTTAACGTGATTGCATAGACATTTTCAGATACCAACTTTTACGACAATGTGTTAGTAATGGATTCGTATGAAAAAACAAAATTGTAAGCACCCCCCCCCCCCACCACCACCTAAGGCAAATCTTGGGTGCGCCACTGGGTAAAATAGGCGCTAAAATATCGGAAAAGGACTGAAAAAAAAATATCCAGCCAGTTTGAAGGCCTTTACACATTTCTAAAAGTTGGTTTTAAATTAAGCGCTCCAGTTCTGAAATTGCGCACACTATCCAAAACGAATTAGGATCAGAGCGTCTAGCTCTTCATTTGAAAATTCAATTTAATGAATTCAAAAAAATAAGCTCATTTCGATGTCAAGCATTAAAAAAAAAACATTTTATATGTGTTCAAAGTTTTTGGCATTTATTTTTGGATTTTGTGGGGGGGGGGGGGTTCAACTTTGTAATATATTTAATATGCATCTTTATTTTGTTTCCGGTATAATATTGTACATGGCGTTTCTTACATCAATTGGAAATTACGGCAATAATAGTTTACTATTGGCGCAATTTGCAATTGACATAACATTAAAGGTACAGTCATATTATTGATCGAACGAAACTTAATTTTGATTATAATCAATTATTTAATATTCATTGATTCGCGACATAGACCTTTGAATCGTTTTTAATACTACCGGAGACCTGCCGAGCAGATGTAAATATCCAACTAAACCAAAGTTTTGAAGAAAAAAAAGATAAAAAAATCAAAAAGTTATGTGCTAGCCAAGCATTCAGGGATCGGTTTGAGCCATAACAATGCCCAGCCAATCATGAAATAAATTATGAAATATTCATTGATTTATGACATACACCCGTTGTTTCAATTTTGATACTACCCGTAGACCTGCCGAGCAGCTGTAGATATCAAACTAAACCAAAGTATAAAAGATATAGGGTAAAACAAATCAAAAAGTTATGTGCTAGTCAAGCTTTCAGGGATCGGTCTGAGCCATAACAATGCCCCAGCCGATCCCTTAGTTCTCTTCCGGGGTCTCGGCGTCCCCGACCAATACACACTTCCTTCCCTGTCCATCCATATAACCCCGGGGGGCCAGGCACCATGTAAAAGCAAAGAGCTATTGTTATATGAATGATATATTTTTTATGGGTGTAGAAAAGTAGTCCCCAGTCCGCAAGCCACCGCCGGACGGACCACCGGTGACCGCGGGGAGCGGCTTGTTGGCATATCGGCACGCCGACCCAAACTATCAGCGGTCCGCCAGAGGTAGGCTAGTGGCATGCCTCCAGTGGCCTGCAGCTCCAAAGCCGCTAGCGGACCACCAGCGGCAATCAGCGGCATAGCACCAGTGGCCTGCCGCTAAAAACCCGCCAACGGACCACCAGCGGCAGTCAGCGGCATACCACCGGCGGTCTACCGCTCCAAAACCGCCAGCGGCAATCAGCGTTTGCTGTTCCCAAGCCCAACAGTCATTCTCCAGCCTGTTATATATCATTGTTTTACTGAATGAAAAATATGGCAAACAGTACGTTCTTCGATCCTTAATTAAAAAAAAACCACCCAAAACATAAAAACGGTAGACGAAAATAACATTAACCACGATACCACATTACACTAGTGGACGCTGTTCATGATGTCCATCTTTATTTTACGTATGGGGCGCAGTTCGCTCTCGTAGCCCCCCCCCCCCCCTCCGGCCACCCAGACTCATTGCAAACAGGGCCTAGGGTGCTGGGCTGGGAAGGGCTGATGAGCAAATTCACGGAATCTTGTGGGGATGGCATTCTGGGTAACTTATCATGACCTTATTATCAGGGGCGGATCCAGGAATTTTCGCGGGGGGGGGGGGGCTGTACCATATTCAATGGGGGCGCTGTTTAAATTCGATGATTATTAACACTAGATTTACATAATGGTGTACCGTATTTTGAACAGGCAGGCATTATACCAGTATAATTTTTTTGGGGTGTCACAGCAGGTGGGGGGGGGGGGGATCTGTGTGTATAGTACAATACACACAGATCACTATAACTCAAATGGCCATCAGCACATTTTGGAACATGTATAAAAGTTTGAATGTTTTACATACGTCAACATACCGTTTTTTTGTTTTTAAATAGCAGCCTGAACACAAATGGTCAAAATGTCGGTGGTTTCGTCAATAATAATGTACCAAGCCGAATTACCCAAAACAGCAGGGGAAATGATTCAACCCGATTCCATTAACCACACAAGCTTCTTGTTTCAGTACTCAAAATTTTATTTTACATCATACTTATTGAGAGTCCATCTACAGATCCTGGGAATACTAAAAAAAAACTTGTTACAAAAAAAAAATCAGAAACTCTTCTTTCATAGTTAATCACATACAAATTGGTGCAACGGTGGGTATGTTTTGAGGAACAACTGTTGCTGGGCAGACTTGTCACATCAGGGCTGTTTCCCCCTACCACATCCACATTTTCAGTATGATGCTGGAATGTTTCATGGGGAATTATTGACAACCTACAACCAATATCCCAACTTCGGTACATCGTATTTCAATCTGTCTTTCAAACAAGTTTCTTATGGGAAAAACAAACTTGTGCAGGTCGGACTTTTTCACAAAAAGAAATTCAACTGCGACTTAGGTATGCATGACAAATTATATTTTAACTCGACACGAATTTATAAATACATACACACAGGGAAATAGATGAACCATTATGGTGGCCAGTGTAGTTGTACTGGGCCCCAATTTTTAGTAAGTAGAAAATACTGCCATGTACATTTATATGGAGGATCCCATCATAACACGCATGTGCTGGAAAACAGTCCCGTTGTCAACTTTGTATGGCTTTACGCCTAACTCCCTAGGGGGTGTGCAAAATCGTATTGAAATTGGAGGATTCAGGACTGTTAGGGCTATAAGAATTATTGGTTTCAAGCGAAACTGGGAGCCTTAGTGAGAGAATTGAATATTTACTAGAATGTGACACACCAGCATTCCCAACCGCATTCCACACTTGTAAGAAGCAACGTGTTAAAAAAAATGCCTGTTTATTAAAAATAAACCCCTTAGTATTAAAACATTTACAAAATGAAGAATCTCTACTTTAAACAACGTGAACTTAAAAAAACTTCTCAGCAAAAGCCAGCACATGTATGAACTGGTGAAAAGGAATTTAAAGATTTAGAGCTTATTTCTAAATTTTAAGCACAATTGTGATGTCAAGTGCAAGTGGACTGGGAGAGAATGTTACAACCTGACGCCAATTCAGCAGTTGTGTACAAAGTCTACAGAGAGTCAAGAAAATGTGCAAAGTATTTCCTAACAAAATTGGAAATGTTGCTCAGTCCCAGATTCATGTCTTGTCATCATTTTTTACAATGAATGACTGTCATTGAGATGATACATGAAGACAAAAGTGCCGTCAGGTTGCAACATTCTTTCCATGGGCTGGAAGCATATCTTAAAACTAGAACTTGAAATATATACAAACCAACATGATTATGTTGTCCAATCCCTCCATCAAGTTGATGTTAACAAGTCAATCTGTACTTTTCAGTCTGTGACAGCATTTGGACAAGTAATGCATAGAACAGGACCATACCGTCTTATTCCCCCAAACCTTGGCCAAGACAGTCAGTGTGGAGGGAAAACTAGGACGAGACCGAGGGCCGACCTGCATGTTTCACAAGTTAAAAACTTTCAATTCAAAATCTTCTTCTGTCAATTGCTGGTGCAGCACTATGCCACCACGAGGGGGGGGGGGAGGAGTACAGTCTTTACACAGTGTATCAAGGACGCAATCGTCGACGGACAGGTCCAGGGAGAAGATGCAACCTGCTTAATTCCTGGGTGGCGGTCTCATTCCTGGAGGGGGTGGGCCTGGAGAGAAAAGAAAACAAAGCAGAAAATATCATCCCAAATGTATTGGCAAAATTAAACAAGTTAAATGTGACTGTATTATTTTCCAGTCACAGCCTGCTCCTTGGTGTGATTTTTGAAGTTCAGTGTATGGTTATGGGCTGTGGACACAAGTACATGTAACCACTCTGCAGTGAAAATGTAGCACATCACCATCAATATTAGGCCTTTTTTTTCACACTAGAGCCTCTCAACCTGGGCGAACCTTGTCCGATTGATTTTTCAACCCCGCATTCAACCCTGTGTTGTTTCACACTTGATAAGTGCAAACCAAGCTTATTTAGCTCGGCTACTACTACTGTCTCGAACCCAGGCGAGACTTTCAACCAGGGTTAAAAACTTCAACCCTGGTCTGGAGAAGGGTTGAATTCAACCCAGGGCAAAATTTGGCACAGGGTTGAACACTTTCAAGTGTGAAATATTGCACGTTTTCAACCCTGCGTTAAGCCCGCACCAACCCCACTGATTTATTTAGTGTGATTTATTTAGTTAGAATGTAATTAAAAACTTCAATGCAATGACAGGAAGAGGCGATAACCTCCTCAGAGATTTGAGAAGAGTGATGCATAGCTCTCCTGGATTTTCCTTTAATGAAGGACTGCTCTAAATTCCATACTGATTCCTGCCTACTGTGTTTCAAATTTTAGAACAAAATGGATTGGCATTGGATTTCTCCAACTGGTAAGCATGGTAAGGGAAAATACCGCTGGTACTTATTGCTAAGTCTGAGTGTTGACTTTGTTCAGGGGTGAGATTGGGGTAAAATGAAAAATCCACAAAACTTTCACCAGAGGGCGTGAGGGTCGCCGACGGCCCCAGAGCAACGTAGGGTCTATGGTATATGTTTGTAATTAGCATTCAGGCAGCCCTTAAAATACCCACTTCTTTTGTTATATATAACTTTTATGGGTAACCAAAAACCAGTTTACTGCCAAATCTCAAGTCACAACCCTGCTTTGTTGGATTTTGCAAGAGTGAGGAAGGTTCCTAGTAAATCACTCAAGGGGGTTAGGGTTAAAGGCGCCTTACTGCTAATTGGCCCTTACCTCTCATTCCCATGGGTGGTCTCATTCCCATGCCTGGTGGAGGCATTCCTCTGCCCATGAGTGGAGGCATTCCGGGTCTCATTCCGGGTGGCATCATGCCGGGTGGCATTCCTCTACCTGAGTACGGAATGGCAAGGAAAACATGTTATTTGGACAGGAAAAAAGGTGTCTGTGTGTCTAGGTTTTAAAGGCCAACTTGGCTACAGACTCCAAATGTCCGAGCAGTTTTTCTCACATAATCAGATCAGTTCAAGATGGCAAAAATAGGGAGAAAGCCCTTTAAAGGGCCCATGTAATGTAATGTTTTTTTAATGCTGTCCTTGAAAATGTACCTTTGTGTCCTATTTAACCTCATTTTTAATTTTCATTTTGCCATTTTTCAGGGCATTTTGGTGCCCTTTTGGTTTTATGCTAATGAAAATTGCATATTCATGAGCAAGTGTGAATTTAGACAGAAACCTCAATGTTACAGCTATTTCAGAACCAAAGTTTGCCAGAATTTTGGATATTTTGCTGCCGTACATGTTCTTTTGTTTGGGGATGCGTTGTTTCAATACAAGACAGTAGGCCAATGAGCACAATTTTCTCACAAATGTTTTCAATTAGCAAATTTTGGGTTCACAATTTGAACAGAAAAACCCCTAAAGTGAACAGTGTCTTCCTGAAATGACATCACAACAGCAGCGCTCTCATTTGTCAGGAAAAGCATGACATTTTTTAATGTTTATAGAAGTGCACTTTTCAATACAATTAACCAAAAGGGATGTCAAATAGTTTTTATATATTTTAAGATTAGAAAGTTCACAAATTATGTTCCCAATTAAAATTCACGTCATGGCCCCTTAAGTACATGATAGGTTTCAAACACTCAACATTTAATTTAAAATAAAAAGTCAATTTAACAACAATTTGCACATTGCCCCTATTATGTCTAAAAATGGAACATGTACAAGAAGACGCAAATCAACACTGATGCACTTAGCAACGAGTGGTATTTTGGCAGGTAAGTGAGTTTATGAATGAGTGATTTTCCAGATACCATGACTCAGTTTTCACAATACATGCTGGATTTGAGAAATTTCACACAGAAAAGTAAAATGAAACTGTGGGGGCAATTACATGTGCCACTAAAACTTGGCATCAACTTACCCATAGGAGGTCTGGTCGGCATTCCCCTTCCACCAGGGTACTGTTGAGGTGGGGCACCTGCAAACATGATAACACATTGAAAGATTCACATAACAAAAAGTCTGTATCCTGAAAACTAATATATCTTCTCCTTTTATGTGCCAAAGCTGAAATTTGGTTCACATACATGTACATGAAGTTCTCACAGTAATGTCACAAACATGACTTTGTATTATATTAGCCAAGTAATGTGTGTTGAAGGGTCATTTGGGAACTGTGTTCTGAATGTCATCACTTTTTGGTCTCCAATTACAAATCAATCACAGGGTTTAAGGTTGGCTTTGTTCCAAAACAGGAACTGACTCGAGTTTGGATAATAGAACGGACAGGCATGTAACTGGGAATTTAGAAAAAAAAACGAGGAAACTCCAAACCCTTCAAGACTTTGTACATGTACAGTGTTTTCAATTTGTAATGGCATTCATGAGAAGTAAAAGACGAGAAAATCAGCGGACTCGAGGAAAAGTGGCATGCATGAACTGATAAAATAGAATTTGGTACCCCATGCCGCAGCAAGTTGGTTGGGTACATGTACTTGGTTCCAGAACACAGGTCTACATCATAGCAATGCCCAAAATCTCGATGCACAACAGAGGAAGATAAACTGTCACATTGCGACAAATTGTCTTTAACCCTTTGTCTACTACCACCTTCCAAAACATTTCAATTTTTACCTTGCCCCACCTTTACTGCATTGACATAGTTATAGGGTTGACAGCCACACACTCCAAGGGATAGGCTAAGTTAATTCTCTGATATGCATATGCACATCTTCCAAATCACTTCATTTTGAATACTGACTTAACAGGTTAGAATCCTTGCATAAAATCAGAGATGCCACAAGGTTTGCTTGAAAAAAACGGAACTGGGTCTGCTTGAAAAAAACCGGAACGGCTGCTTGAAAAAACCGGACTTTTGTGTGTGTGAAAAAGCCACTCCGTGTCCGACACAAAGTCCCCGCTGTCATCTTTATCTTGTAGCCAAGCCAAGTTCTGTTTATTGTTTAATTTTGCTTCTATGGCCTTGAAAGCTGTCGGTTCGTTCAATCACTTTGACTTTTTCCATCCTAATATTTATTCTGCCTACCCGAATTTCCAACGTAATATTCGACACGAAACATGCATGATTCCACAACACTGCTGTCGGTGTACATGATCCTTGCACTACGCGATGCGCTCAACGAAAACATGGTTGGTACCCGCATTTTTTGTATTCACATATATCACTGCGATCGGAAACCACCGATAGCTGAAATGATAGACTTGATTTCCAGGCTGAATGCTACGTGTGCTTAGCACACAACACGCCCGCACGCGGTGAAGCACGCGCGAGGCGCCGTTGTATCTTGCGTGCAATTAAGTACGTTGGCCGTTTGTATCGCATGCAGGCTCGGCAACAACATACACAAAGACTGTTTTTAAGACTACTTCAACGAACAACGTTGTGCCATGCGTGCGCCTAAATGTACTAAATCGAGGTAAAAATCAACGCATTTCCACAGTTTTTCTTCTCTTTTTCTGGTTAATTTGACGGCCGGAAAAACCGGAATTTTGTGAGATTTTTTTTAAAAACCGGAATTCCGGTTAAAACCGGAAAAGTGGCATCTCTGTAAAATTCATGCGGAAGGTATTGACATACCCAACTGTCTGGCAAAAAACTTACATGGGTATTTTGACAAGTCATCCTCCCAAATGCAACATCATGCAACACTTGTCTTAGGGAAAGTAAGTAAAGTCTGTCCCGAGCCAATATGGCCCAATAGGCTGGCATTTATCTCCGGTTTCAGTGGCATGAAATGACTGAGAATATTTCTATTCCCCCTGGACGGGATGCCAGTCCATTGCGGGTTACTCCCCAGCTAATGCCGGTACCCATTTATACTTCAAGGTGGAGAGAGGCAAGTGGAGATGAAGTGGCTTGCCCAAGGATACAACGTATGGCCAGCAGCTGGATTCGAACCCCTGACCCTCTGATCATGAGTCACAAATCCTAACCGCTAGGCCAAACATCCCCTCTTGTCTATTAAGAGACAAGCCTGCAAAATGTAACAAGATCAAACAGGCCATAATTCCCAGAGACTGTAGATTCCAATGGCAACAGCATACAGCAGTTGCACGGTGCATCTCTCATTGTCTCAGAATTGGCAGTACAGTGGAATGTCGCTATACCGAACACCGCTATACCGAACATTCGGCTATACTGAACAACTTCCTTGGCTCTTTATTTTTTGTGTACAAAATGTACCGAATATTAATGTTGAAAAATGTCAACAGAAGAGCGAAAAGTGGCCATTATTTCCCCAAGGAATAGAAGGGGAAAGCCACCCATTGCTGTAGGTGCCGGTAGTAAGCTCACAATCTGTGTAATTCCATTATTCAATAGTCGGCACGTGTTCAAAGTCATCTTTCAGTAACCAGAAGTTCCAGGGCATGCAGGGTGAAGTTCTGAAGGGCGCTATTTATTGAAAAATGAGTACCGGAGCACCGGCAGCTTATAACCGCTATACCGAACGATCGCTATTACAAACAATTTCTGTGGATCCCGCGACGTTCGTTATAGCGGCGTTCCACTGTACATGTATGTATAAGCACCAGTTAGGATGGCCAAACACCGTAGGGTCCCATCTGACTTTTACATCTGTTACACTGTTGCATCTGGCAGGCTTAGGGTTAAAGTGGTAGAAACCAGAAAACCAAGACCGATTCCCCCCCCCCCCCCCTCCTTTCTGACATACCTATCTGTGGAGCCATGACCTGTTGTGATGGACCTCCAACTCCTCTGACTGGACCAGCTAGACCTGCTGGTGCTGCTGCAGCTGCTGCAGCATGTGCTGGGATTCCCCTGCCTGCTGCACGTCCCATACCGGGTCCACCGCCAACACCGGGCAAGGGTACACGTGGTCCCTAAAATGGAAAAAAAAACAAAATTGAAGCCATCAAGTACTATCAACAGTTCAACGAATAGTTTTAGGATACTATGGGGAAAAAAATATGTAAAACTGAAATCTTTTATGTAAGATCAAGAAGACTGAAGTCTTTTGAAATGATAGTTATACAGACGACGAGTGTACTTTTGTTGTATGTGCTCTGTGCCCAAACAAGAGAGGACACTTTTTTTTACCACTTTTGAGAGCCCACTGGATGGGAAACACCGCATTTGCGTCCTGGTTCGTGCATGTATGTATGCATGAATAAGTTATATTCATAAATACCTTTTCGGTAAAAAAAATATATTTTCCTTCTAAAAATCAAAACAAGTCAAAAGCCAGACATTGCTAACCATTTTGTTACTGCATTTTGTATCAAACACCCCTCTGACTATAATATGGAATGTCCCTCTACAATTCCTTACCTTATAAGGACATTGGCGTCGCGCGTAATTACGCGCGATGTCACGCAAAATGCAGCTGGGCGGGTGTAGTTTGAATTTTGGAATTTGAAATACTGATTCAACCCTCCTGCTATTTAAACAGTCACAGACAGTCAACATTTCCATCCACTTTCCCTGCTATACTTTTAACACAGGCTAGTCACCAGTGGTCAGATCATATGTCAAGCAAGCACTGTGACAAACTCAGTCAACAGACCATGGACAGACAAAGCAGGCAAGTTGGCTTATCAATTACCCACAGTCAAAGCAAAGCTGTTTCAAGTTACACGGGAAGTCACAGCCAGTCAATCCTGCTTTACAATGTATGTGGGCTGGGAATTTATAACTGTTGAAAACAGTCACTTGATTGCGAGGACAACTTGCCACAGAATGCATGTTTGCACAGGAGGATTAAACTGGTGCTCAAGACATACCATGAAAATAATTGCATTTATGAGACACACTTCATTCAAGAATTCTATTATTATTTAATTAAATAAAGCATGAGAATTTACATAACAAAAGTATTCATTAAAAAAGAGCTAAATAAACCAATAATGAAGTACATCTTGACAATATAGGCTTAACTTAAAATTATGAACTAACAAACGTTCCAACAGAATGACATTTACACAAATGCTTCAAAAGGGGCCTCGTATAGCCGAGTGGTTAGAGCGTGGAGCTACAGAGTGGAAGGTCGGCAGTTCAAATCCCATGCGGACCAAAAACTGGAAAACTCTCTCTGACGACCCAACAGTGAAACAAAAATGGGTACCTGATTCATTCAGGGAAGGTAAGACGGCGAGAGGAGAGGACTGGGCCCCGCCACTCATATGCCGCGCCCAAGACACAGTGGACCTCTAACATCCAACTGCCCCTACGGCCAGTAACGGCTATGGGTACCTTTATCTTCAAAAATATTTAGGATACGCACTGAACTGGACAGACTTATAATGCCAATGCATTGAAGCAGCTGTACGCCATCTTGGGTCACCCACGACCGCATGCAGCAAATGCAAGGTTTTTTTATGTACATGTGCAATTCCACACTAATGGGCCCAAAAGTGTGACATTTGAGAAGACCTTTTATGTTTTGATAAAACTACGATCTTGTCTCTCAATTTTTGCTGTAAACATTGCAAGCTTCGAACAAATATCCTCACCTGCAAATGATATACATTGTAACTGGTTTTGTATTTTAGAAAATTTAGTGGATATTGTTTTAAAAAGTGTTACATACGTAACGAAGGACAGACATTTTTGAAAAAGTCACAAAGTACATATAACTATAACATTTAATGATCCCCTAATGTTGACTTATTTAAGAAGATGTACCCTGGAGGAATGTCATCAGTCAACATCTAGAAAACTCAAGAATCAATTTGAAGAATTATTTTACATTTTATAATCAGGATTTATACAAAAATATAACTTTTCTTGAAAATGACAGCACACAAGGTGCCATGATTTTACAGGATGCTTTAGACTGTCATTCACTAACAGTCCAGTAAGGTACATGTATTTCATAATAATTTGGTAGTCTTGTTTTTTAACCCTTACTCTCTGAGGGTAGTTTACTGCATGTCAGTTGGTTATGCCAATGCCCTCCAGCTGCAGTTATTTGGCAGATAACAAGTCTTAACAGTGAAGGCTCCAATTGGCAGGAGTTGGAGGCCCTGGAGGGTGCCTGATACTGACCAGCTGGGGGCACTCACTTTGTTATCAGAGGACTCTCATTGTTCTCTGTGGCATGTATTGGAGTGCCTGTCCAGTTACCCTTGAAATGACATGGCAGATATTGGAGGGCCATGCAAAAAACATAGGAGATTTTCTTGAGGCACAATTGGCATGCATTGGAGGGTCAAGTAGGGTAAGGGTTAATGTTTGTAAATGTTGTATACAGTGTATTCCAATAACAAAGTCTTTCTTAATATTTTTTTTTCAATTTTGCTATTTTTGCCCAATACATGTATTTGTCAAATATAGTACCTAACTTCACAGCTTTTCTTTGATTGCAAACCCTACATGTATATGTACATTTACATTATGAAACAAATCTACTTGCATGCATGAACCTGAACTAAATACATGTACATGTATGTCTCTCTTCAAGTTTCATTTTGTTTTAAAATCCATCACAGCGCTCATGTAACAGCTATGTGATATCTCTCGTAGCATGGAGAGAATATAAAAACTCATGGCAAAAAAGAAATGCTGGAAGATGTCAACACTTTGTGATATTAAAAAAATGTAAGTCTATAGATACGTGTAGGTAGTGAAAAATAAAGACCTTATACAAAAACGAACGGGATGGATGGAGATTTTCATTGTAAATTTGATTGTTGAACCAAGACAACTGGACTTAAACTTCACGACCTATCTGGGTTGCTTCTTCTATTCCAAATGGAATCCCTCAAAATTCTCTTGGATTATTGCACTATAAAATATGGGTTTCTGATAATTTTAATCCAACTTACATTTTTAACAAATTGAAATTATATGTTATCATGGCAATACATAATGTTCATTACACATGGATGTTGTGTCTATGATCTTCTGTAATTGGAAAGAAACATGCATTGCTTAACCTTGTGTAAAGAAACCTGTATATCTAAGGATATAATAATTAAATGCTGCAATTTCTGTAGGCTGTTTTAGGTTGTTGCAATTTAAACTAACTCACTTGTCAGTTTTACACATACATTTTTGTTTTCATAGGAGGGGCAGGATAGGAGGGGCAACTGGACAGGCTGGGGCAGGACAGGCAGGTGGAGTTGACAGGTGCTTACCCAGGGGATGTTGCCTAACCTTTGTCTTGGTTCGCTATTTCAAGTCATTTTGTCCTTGATCCTTTTCCTGACATGACGACTGTAGGAATCCACTGCCTCTTTGATATCCTTCCACATCTGATCTCTGTCTTGACTGTTCCCAGGGCACAGTTCAAGCACCGCCCTTTTAAGAGCACCCAACCTCTCTGGATGTAGTTTGCTCAATCCTCTAACCCCCCGACAATTGGACGCCATTCGTTCCTCGTCAAGGAACAACATGTGGCCTAGTTCCCTGGCAATCTTCTTATGGTCGGGAGCAAATGCTCTCAGGGGCAACAGCACCTCCTGTTTGACCACCAGCTGCTGTACTCCATTTTCATTGGTGATGGTCTCCAATTTGTCCATGACGTCTTCCATCGTTTCGCTCTTTGTTCCGCTGGAGTTGGAGCTCACATATAAGGAGAGCAGATGTTGATATTTCCCACTTTGGAGGGCCACAGCCTGCTTCAGACCGGCGACATCCCTTTCCAGTGCTGAAATCCGTGTCAGCTGGTCAGAGGGAAATGTGGGAATAATAAGCGGTGTCATCAGTGTTGGAGACAGCCGAGGAAGCGTCAGCGTTGGCAAAGGAGGCATTGTTGAAAATGAGGTAGCCGCTGCGATGGAGACAGGGTGCGGATGTGGCTGGGATACTGGAGGCAGTAATGATGATAACTGGAAGGCCCCTGATAAATCACTGTCTTTGGTATTGCTTTCCAGGGGAGCACTAGGTTCATCGTTGGTAACGCTATCTCTTGACGGAGGCAGGGGAGCATCAGGTTCAAACCTGCCTGTTTCAACAGTCATGTTGTCTTTAGCCTTCTTTCTAACGTGACGACTGTATGCATCCACGGCTTCTATGACTTCCTTCCACCTCTGGTCTTGCTCTTCGCTGTTCCCGGGGCATAACTGTAACACTGCTCTCTTCATGGCACTCAATCGATTTGGATCTAGCCTGTCCATTCCCCTCACTCCCCGACAATTTGACTTCAGTCGCTCTTCAGCCAGGAACAGAACGTTGGCCAGCTCCCTGCCAATCTTCTTATGATCAGGAACGAGGGCCGTCATGTGATGCAGCACCTCCCGTCTGACCACCAGTTGTTGCTCTCCGTCTTCATCGGTGATGGTTTCCAATTTGTCCATGATGTCAGCCATCGTTTCGCTTTTGGTCAGGTATGTGTAGTTTCTCATGTATATGGACATTAATCGTTGGTATTTTTCATCTTGGAGGGGGATGGCTTCCTTCAAAATGGCCACTTCCCTCTCGAGTACGTCAATGCGTATTGTTTGTTCCGAGTGAAGTGTCAGGGGTACATGAGGTGCTGTCTGAGTATGAGGCATCGGAGTTGTCATCTGTCTCAAACAGGGAGGCAGCGTTGGAGTTGAAGCTTGGGGCATGGTGTCAAGAGTAGAGACTGAAATGGAGATGGGAGTTGGTAGTGGTTGGGATGCTGGCGGCACCGGTGTAGATGACTGGAAAGCCAGTGGTGCATCGTTGGTTACGTTATCCCTCGACAGAGGCAGGGCAGCACCAGGTTCAACCCTGCCTGTTTCAACAGTCAAATAGTCTTTAGCCTTCCTTCTAACGTGACGACTGGATGCATCCACGGCTTCTTTGACTGCCTTCCACCTCTGGTCTTGCTCTTCGCTATTCCCAGGGCATAATTTTAACACTGCTCTCTTCATGGCATTCAATCGTTTTGGATCTAGTCTGTCCATTCCTCTCACTCCCCGACAATTTGACTTCAATCGCTCTTGATCAAGGAACAACATGTTCCCCAGCTCCCTGCCAATCTTCTTATGATCAGGAACAAGGGTTGCCAGGGGCTGCAGCACCTCCTGTCTAACCACCAGCTGTTGCTCTCCATCTTTGTTGGTGATGGTTTCCAATCTGTCCATGACATCATCCATCGTTTGGCCTCCTGTTAGGTTTGGAGGCACTAGTGATTGCGCAGGGAAGGCCTCTGATGCACCACTGTCTACATCATTCCTTGAAGGAGACAAGGGCGCTTCAGGTTCATCAGGTACATCTGATATTTCGACAGTTTTCTTTGCATTTTCCTTTATCTTGTCGAGTTCCTTTTGGAGCTTCTCAAAAGTAGCAGCAGCCTTTTCTTGCAAGCTTCTCAAAGTATGGCCCTGTGGCATGATGTACTCAAAATCAATGTCATCCTCGTCTTCTTGATCTTGTGAATCTTGGGCTGGCTCATCGATGATCACATCTACGATCTGTATTGAATATGTATGCAAGTAAAAAGCTTGTGTTAATCATAATTCATTTATTTTAAGCTGGAGGATAGGAGGGGATAGGGTAGGGAGGTGGGGAAGGGGTCAGGGGAGATACAGCGGAGCTGAGGGGGCCAATGGTAGATATTGGGCAGGTAGTTTATGTACCCTCAACAAATCACTTATACAACTACTTCTAATACCCAAGAAACTATTACTTTATCAAAATGAAATTAAACAGGGTTGATCATTTAATACTTCTGAAACTGAGACTTATTATGATATACAGAAAGACTCTTTACCTGTTCTTCAGCCCCTGCAGTTGCATCTCCCATTTCTCCAGCAGTCTTTTTCACTGGCCTTTGTTTTACCTTCAAGCAACAATAGATTGAAAACAAAAATTACCTCAAATACTTGGGGAGTATTTTCCCTTTCCCGGCCTACATTTGGCAAATGACTGAAAACAATTGACACTTGGGAAATTGAAAATTCATTCGTTTATTACAGAACACATTATGTGAATACAGTGCATAATGATTCTTACCAATTCATCCTCTGCTAAGGCTGAGCTTTTCCTCTTTCTGTTTTCTGCTGTCTGTGATCCCTTCGAAGGACCTTGCTCCTGTAAACAATGATGAACGTGTAAGTACTTGTGCTAGACAATAAAATTTACTATAACTGTAAGTTATAGTTATAAAATTTACTATCCAGGTAGCATTCTCACTTGTGCTAAAAAAAGTGTTTATTTTGTACTTACATCTTCCTCTCCCAGAACTGGAGTCTGTTCTGAAGGTTCAGGATGTTCTTTGCTTGAAGATGGCCCCTCAGAATCCTGTTTAATGATACAACAAAAACGGAACGTTCTACCGAAAGTCACTGCAAACATAAAAATAAGTATTCATGTTTGTTAACCCTACCCTCCAGTTGGATGAAACCCTGCTAAATGCAGCAACATGCAACACTTGTTCCTAAATGACATGCCTGCCCAGTGTAGCAAGATCCATCAGGTCAAAAGTCTTAATGGGAATATACATCATTTGCTTTTGCTGTAATTTCCAGAAATGGATGGAATTGGGGGGTTGGAAATATATAGCAAATATAGTTACACTGACTTTTTTGAGGTTTTGGGTTCGAAAATGCTAGAAAAACAATCATTTTCCTGTAGTCTGGTTCCCTGACTCCATTTAAGAAGAAACAGAGCAGTTTACATATATTGGGGAATTGTAAGGTCAGGGAACCAGTCTAGCTGGCTTGTACCCGTCCATAGGTGTGTAATCGATTGCAAACAAGTGCGATGGTCAACTGGGGCCAGTATTTGAAAAAAAGCCAGTTTTTTCCAACGCTGATCGGCCGGTCAGCATTGGAAATTGATACAAAAATACCACTTTTTTTGAAAATGACAGTATACCAGGTGCCATGATTTTACAGGATGCTTTACACTGTCATTCACTAACAGTCCAGCAAGGTATTTCAAAATGATTTGGTAGTTTTATTTTTTGATGTTTGCAAATGTTGTATTTTCCCTTTAAGGTCAAACTGCCTCAGAGTCTGTGGTCACCGAATGCAGCAGGCTACAACTGTGGCATTGTTCAAAGGGACTACATGTAGCTCTCATTATCTCAGAACTGGCCGTTAATGCACTGGTGTTGGTAGCTGAATGCATCAAAGTGCACCAGACTTTTACATCAGATGCACTGTGCTGCATCTGGCAGGGTTCGGGTTAAAAGGAAAATTTACAATCAAGCCAGCATTCACATTTGTACCAAGTTTACAAAATCCACAACTGCTATGCTTACAGCTTCATCTCCCAGAAGTGACGTCTGTTTGGAAGGTCCAAGATTTTCCTCTCTTGAAGACTGTCCCTTGCCAGCCTGTCATTTAAAAAGACAAAAATAAGAATTTGAATTTGCTTCTATGAACAAATGATAAAACATCAAATTGAGTAAATAAAAGTTGGCAATAACATTTCACTCAGTGGTAGCATTCTCATTGGTATTAAGAAAAAAACATTTTTGTGTACTTACAGTTTCATTTTCTTCTACCAACATCCACTTGGAAGGTCCAGGGTTTTCATCACTTGAAGACGGAACCTCTTCGTCCTATCAATTGAAATAATAAAACTAACTCAATAAACATGTATTTATAGCTACATTTTTGGTCAGGAAATGTAATGAATTCTTCAATATACTTTTTAAAAATATATGTACACATTTCAATGAAATCTTTTATTTTTGGAAAGTGTGGATATCTCTTTATTTAGTTTCATATTTAGAGTGACTACTTATACAACCCCAAACTGCCTAAGCACTGGTTTTATGGATTAGTCAAGGACTAAATACAGTGAAGTACAATGTAATAAAAGTGCTTAAGGTTTAACATACAAAAACCATTCCGAGCTGGAACATGGCCAAACTGCTTATTTTTTTGCCGTCTTTTACATGTAACATTTTAATTTTACATAAATACCCCCATCATAAAAGGTGAATAAAAACATCTGGGAAATTAACTAAATCTTTGACTTGTCTTAACACATAGCACAACCTCTTTGTTCGAGACTTATGTTAGTAAAATTTTGTGTGAAATGAGTACATGTAAGAACTAGGTACTGAGTGACAGAAAAATAACATGCAAAACAAAATCTGAACTAAAAGGTCTACGATGAAATAATGAAACGCCTTGGTAAAACAGGGGGCGGGGGTTGTGTCTTGGTGTGATGTTATTGAAATATTCTTACCTCGCAGTAGATGTTTAAGTTGATATCTCCATTGTAGATGACATCATCGCTTTGTTGACTTCTTAGGCGTACCAGGAGTGCTGACTGCTCGTTTCGCTCTCTATAGTTTCCAGCATTTTTCTTGTGGACTTTGTGTTCAGCATTAGCTTTCGAGTTTCAGACTTTTGATATGCAATCCGTTTTATGTAAAACTCTTATTTTTGCTATGGCCTAATAACTAAGATTCGTATGTTCAATGCAAATTTTTGTTCATCTCCCCCCGGTATGTTTAATTAATTAATTTAGCCCCCTAGTAGTTCCTCAGGACTACCCTGCTAAATCCGACAGAGTCCAACGGTAGTTTCCTGCTCAATCAACTGTGCCTTATTTTCAGTTGTCTGCTGGCTCCAATAGAGTTCAACTTGGCGTTTTAATGCAGTTCAGTTGCCTGCCGAATCCATCATATCGAAATCAGGAATGAACACAAGGGGTTTACCGCAAAATCCAACAATTGGGGATATGATATAGTTGGATCTTGTTGGATTCAGCAACACTCTCCAAAGATGAGCGACTCGTGGCAAAATGTGATGAAAACATTTAATGGGCTACATGACACATATAATAACATGCGTATACATGAAATTCCCGACCATGCTGTATAGCACAAAAGTCAGCACCATGTACCCTGATAAACTGTCCTATGCAAACAAACCTTCTTTGCAAAGTTGTCCTTTCAGTCAAAATCAATGAAGTGAGTCTTTTAAAAGTAAATAGCTCCCAGCCTACATTAACCCTTTCCTTCCCATGGGCGACTTTTGTGGACAAGAACTACCCCCCTGCTGGTTCCCATGGGCGACTTTAGTCGACCAGGAAACCACACACAAAACACCCTCAACACAGATATATTCACTACTTTTCAGAAAGTCGGTATGTTGATATGTTTGGCCGCCCATACATCAACCATATACTAGCTGAAAGAGTGTTTTCGGATCTTTCTAATGGTGTAGTTTATTTATAGGGTTACCATTACAAAAAAATGAGAAAAGTGCTTCAGAAGTATCCATGCACAATTTGAGGTATGGAGTGCCATTTGGTCATGTGGTAAAATGGCTTGCAGTTTGATAAATGGGACCAGATGAACAAAAAGGCATAACTTTCTTATATTTTCGCATATGGACTTCATTTTTACATCAGATAAAAGAGTAAGATTCAAGGAACAAACTTTACACACAACACCTATGATTTTAATCACTTCTTGGCAGTGAAAATCTGGGTTGAAAAAAGTAAGTTTTGGACTTGTGGTCAGTTTGTTCACGCTCTAGTGATTTCCGCATGACTGAGCAAACAATTCGGTCCTGGGGAGAGCCAAGTCAATAAACAATGTGGGCATGAAAGGGTTAAGCAGGATTGACAGCCTGTGACTGTTTATGTATTAACTTGATACTGCAATGCTTTGACTGTAGTTGATTGATATATATGCCAGCTGTGCCTACCACTTGCCTGCTTTTGTCTGTTGACTGAATTTGACTAGTCACAGTGCTTGCTTGAAATGTGATGACTGCTGGTGACTAGCCTGTGTAAAAGGCATGGCAGGGAAGCAGATTGATTTTTGACTGTCTGTGACTGTTCAGAAAGCTGGAGGGTTAATGCAATCAAACAATGCATGTTCCACTGTCTACGACCATGTTTATACAGTTTTGACAAACACTCTAGCTGCTATACCGCCAACCATGCTAATGTACACAATAAACATGTACTGAACTTCGTGCTGCATGGTCCAATAATACCGTGGACCATTGGATATTTTCTATCATGATTTGTTCATTGTGGGTAGTACTGTTAACAAATGGCACAACCTGTTTTGAAAACATTTCTAGAGAAATCTTTCTTTAAAATGGGACAGCAAAACTGTGACAGAATCATCCATGGTATGAGTCACTACAAAGCCTGCTCACTCGTACATATTGCTCACTAGTTTCCAACTTGCCTTTACATACACAAACATTTTTCAGTGGAAGGGTGACCACTGCTTCATTCCTTCAAAATCCTCAAATTTACTTTTGCAGGTCCCAATTTCATGGCTTTGCTTACTGTTAACGAGAACCCCCTGCTTACCAAAACAGAAATTTCTGTGTTTATGGTAAGTGTATTTCATGGGTTAGCGAGGGATTTTACAGCCCGTAACTGAGGATTCTGTGCTCACAGGTTTAGCACAGCACTTTTCTGGTTGCACGGTTAGCACAAATTGGTGATCGTAAGCGCGGAATTCTGTGGTTAGCAGAGCAATGAAATTGGGCCCAGACGATATCCAATATTATGTAGGTCTACAGCTAAGCATGGCTGAACGTAAGAAAGCATGGTACAACTTAAGATCTTGACATTCTCCAAAATCAACCCTTTATTGAGAGGCATACAACCCCAATCTTTCAAAATCCTCTAAAGCAACTGGTTGATGTTGGAGGATTGAGGAGGGTTAGTTGTAAGAGATTGTGCCATGTATTCAGATGGTTAGTTTCCCAGATTGTTCAATTCCTAATCATTTACAGTCTGGGTTAGCCAGAGCCAATCATTGCACTCACCGATGAGACAGGTGGCCCTTCCACCGTCATAGAGACAAGATTCTCCCCTCTCAGCAGCACCAGACCCAGGGCTCTCTTCTCCTCCCTCTCTGGCATCTTGGAGCTCTTGGGCTTGATCTTGCGAAACTCCTCACAGTCCCCGAGCACCAGGTTCATGTGTTTGTCAAAGGCCAGGAACGTGCCGATGAAGGTGCGGCCGTCTTGTAAGGATATCCGCATCCGGAAGTTGATGTGTTGCAACATCTTGGAGCTCTTGCCGACCGTCTGCAACAAAAAAAATGATTTCACAATCAACTTGACTCGACTATTTGAAGTCTTGCACATTGACTAGTCTGTGGAAATCGTTTTAATATGTACATACATTTTAAACAACCGATAAGTCGGTAATCCTTACTTTTAGGACACCTCTATTTTGTATGAGTTCTGTTCAAAACTGACTTTTGCAGATGACTGTCCAGTACCAAAGTGACTTTTGCAGGCTAAAGAAGTCTTTTTTCTTCAGACAAACTCATGTTAGTTAGAATATTGAAAGCACTTTCAAAGAAAATGTGACTTTCCTACATTTTTTGCAGTTTGCCATCTTGCTTTTTTAATATATTTTCTGTTTGTCATCGTCGTCTTTAACCCCTCATAAATCAAAGCCCTGCCCTCTTTCTACAAAATTAAACCTGCTGATATTCAAGAGGTGTCATTGCCAAATGTTCAAATGTGCCAAGAAATATCAGAATGTCACTTTTGATTGTCATTTAGTCAGCTGTTTTGGTGAGTCTTTTAACCTTATATAGGAAAGGGGTCCTAAAGGTAAGGATTACCGATAAGGCTCCTCACTCAATTTTTTTGGGTAATTTTGTTTTTAATTCCCACGATTTGCCCTTTGGTGATGTATGTGGCTAGATTCGTGAACGTGGCTTGTAAACTATGCCAAGCTCCATCACCATTTTGAACCTGTTACCTAGCGAAATCGTCTCTTCATGACACAAACTGAACATTATTTTACCGTGTGATAAGCAATCACAAGTCACATACGAATCTTTCTTGAAATCTGCTTTTACTGCAAACCTTGCAATTGAACGAAATTTGACCTCCTCCTGATGCATGTGATTTACTGGACTCATGCCAACCTCCTCGTCCCTAGTGCTTACTTTATTTCCAAACTCGTTTCCAATAGGAAGCAGGAAGTAGAGACGAGATTTGACTTTCCCCAAGTGACGCATACGCTTTGCCTTTATTATTACATGTATGCTGTCTTGTTTCGTATGATTCAACGGCTATTTTCTGTCACAGCTAGAATAGACATTGTTTTAGACAAGTTTCCAGTCCTTTCCTCTCTCACCGCACCGCACCGCACCGCACGCGGGCGCACTACTGCTCACCGCGACGCGAAAATAATTTTTATTTTTCTGAACAAATAACGTGGCATATTTTTGAGTAGTTTGATTGATAGGGGTCATGGGGGTGTAGGCCCTAAGTGGCGCCACCAACGTCAAAATAGCCCCCCCTCAAAAAAACAAATTTTTTTCTGCGGCCAAAAAATGAAAAATTGTGGGCAACATTTTTGACAAAATTTAACCTTCTAGGCCCTAATCTAAAATAATTTAGTTCTAAAAAAATCCTGGGTGTGCCACTGTTCCAAGTATGGCTACCCCTTTATTAACGGAGGATGGAGGCCAATACAATGGCAATCATGGCAATTATTATTACATAAACAGCATTGGACCATACATTCCATTCAAATGAACATTATTACTGACACTACTATTGTATTTTAATAGATTTGGTGGGTTTTTATTTTACTTCATTTGCCGGCAGAACTACATTTATGTTGCAAAATAAGTACAAATCCTGTAAATACATAATTCATTATACATGATAAACTCCATTTTACCATTTTGAAGTGATGGATGACGGCGGATTTCTGCAGAAATTAACAGCGTCTCCTCAGACTCTTGCAAATCACACGAGACGCGCCGCCTGTAAAACGTTTTGTGCTGAGCACAAAGGTCAAACAAGGATCACAAGCCAATCAGACGTCTCGTTTCAATACAGTCTACCCATGAAAGACCCGTTTCTATTGGCTATTGTTAAAAAAGATGGCTGCGCCCTTGTGCTAGCTTTTGTGGAAAAAGCTCTGCACAAAATGCACGAATACAGCGCTAGCAACCAAGCAAGCTTGAGTTAATACTGGTAGGCCTACCCACACGCAGGTCAAAATATGGATACAGAGGATTTCGACTGGGAATTTGAACACCCGGTGAGTTTTGAACCAACACTTAAATAAAATCGATGAATTTCAGAACGCAGCAATACGGCGGTCAGTCAACCGTCTGGTTCCCTGAGCAACTACTACTACTAGTATTCAACATGAGGATCTTTGGCTGTTGGGGCCAGACTATCAACCGAATGGTTCTCTGTCCTTTTCTCCTAAAAAATCCCCCAATGCGACTGACATGACTGATTACAAAAATAAAAATGAAAGCAACTTAGGCCTTAAATATTAAAAAGAACGATTTGGTTAAAAACATAAAATTAAAATAAAAGTAAAGAAAATTAGGCTATTAAATTAAATAAAATAGAAAAATTGTGTGGTGGTCTGGTGGTGGTGGTATGAACTGTAGTGTCACTGACGATGCAGCTGGATTCAATCCTAGACCTGTGAATGTGGCGTCAATAACAACGCCACGCGTAAATGTGAAATAAAACCCTTCGAAGTTAGACGTGTTCAAAATTTTCAACCTGAACGTCATTTGTCCCACAGTATGAAATTTGTAATAAAAACAGATAGTGGATATTTTGCCGGAGGTAATGACGGCAACGTAACGTTTACTAAAGGTTTGCCGGCGGCAATCCATATCAACAGAGGGCGCTGTACTCTTTATGATAGGGTTGAATTATAAGATGTATTAAATTCCCACCAAAAGTTGTGTAGCACGTTTGGTGTAGTGGTTAAGCAAAAGCTCTAGTGAGCGGGATGACTCGGGTTCGATCCCGATCCCCGCCACATTTTTAAGTTTTTTTTTCCCATCCCCAAATAAATAAAAATATTCTTCTTTTATTATTTTAACATGTCTCAAACATTTTATTGCAGAGTATTACATTTTCTTTTTCAGATTTGTGGCTCTGGAGGATTTTTTTTTTAAAGGGAAATAAAGTCCGAAATTATAAAATGGTCTGAATCCCATCTTGTGAATACGAGGTTACAACGATAATATTGGCATGGAGCCAGACTAAAATTTGTCACTGGAAAATGTTCAAGTACAAAAAAACAGTAACTGCGCATGTTCAGTGCATATCCGGCAAACTAACGTTTACTAAAGGTTTGCCGTCTCCGGCAAAATATCCACTGCCATAAAAAAAACTGTATCTTATCCGAGTGATCCCCGTTTGCTTTTGCCCAGGTCTGCATCGTGACTTTGGGCGTGATCTCTGGCTGCATGGTATAAACTGGTTTATGGCTTCTGACTAGCACCCCTTGAACAAAGACATTGACAAATTGAGGATCCACAAACATTGGGCTGGATAGCTCAGTTGGAAGAGCACTTAAACAGTAATCCGGACGTTGGAGGTTCAAGCCTGCTCCAATCAATTCCTTTGTTCAACTTTTCAAAAAATTGAAAACAAATAAAACTGCTGCAAACTGCTTTTTGACTGGATTGCCTGAAATTTATAAAAATAAAAAAAAAAATTTTTTTAGTCTCCTGATGATGACTAGAGCAGGCTAGTCGAAACGTTGAGACCAAAGACAAGTTCTTTTAGAACTAAGCAGGACTGTTCTTATCAGAACTAAGCATCCACTGAGCGACACTTGTTAATATTACCACATGGATTTTACCGCAAACCGAAATGATACTGAAAAAAAATTAAGGCGGCCGCGGCCTGATGTATCAATCTGAACAAGATCTTCTTCAGACGCAAAATTAACCATTTTCAAAAAATTATTATCAGATTGACTCTTTGCCCACATCATTTGATGGACAGGAGGTGGATCCTGACGAAGATGAGGAACAGGAGGAGATTGCCGATCCTTACAAGGATGATGAGAGCAAAGATGATGAGGCCATACAGAGGGAATGCCTCAAAGCATTCGCCAGCATTGATTACATCATGGAGTCTGGTGTCTTCAAAGATCTTAAGAGGTAGGCCAAGAAGGTCTGAGTAGCGGTGGTGGTCCTGCATCACTGCTAGCCCCATAAGTGTGGCTCAAATTCGGACTGATGAATTTGGAGCCACACACCAGTGATAGCAACATGTGTGGAAAGTTGTTTTGAGGAAATCAAAACCGGGACTGTTTTTTTCACTTGATATTCACTACCGATAAGATAAGTTAATAACCAAGGAAAGTCAAAAGGTCAAAGATACATGACCCATGACCTTGAGAAAAATACTGCGTTAATTTTTGGACAAACTCTCTGCAAATTTGGCCTGAAAATTGCAGGATAATTAGACATCTACGGGGTCAAAATTCAATTTGTCCCTGTTATTAAGTAGTTAAGCATCTTTCATAGTGAATATCAAGTGAGAAAACAACATTTCAATTTCCTTAAAACATTTTTCCACATATGTTGCTATCATCGGCGTGCAAGTATTTGAGCCACATATATAAGTCTACATCACTGTCAGATAACAAGAGACTGTTTTGTTGTTCTAAAATGATATTTTTTTTTTCATTCTTAGACAATAGACAAGTACTTGTCATGGACATCTTCATTGACCCCTTGCACACAGCACTCTCACGAATGACAGATTTTGTTATTTAAATTCAATGTCAACGGAAGTACAAAGTATGCTCTCATGTGTGTAGCAGAGGGACAAAGACCAGGGCCCAATTTCACGGCGCTGGTAAGCACACGATTTTATGCTAACAGAGCCTCCGTCTATTTCATGGAGACCGTAAGCATAAGCACAGCAAAAGGCACGCTTACTTCAGAGGAACAAAATTTGCTTAACGTAGTGACGTAACAATAGAAATCTCCAAGCGCGCGCGACCGTTAACACGTCCACGCCGTGAAATAGTGCTTAAGGTTAGCACATTTTTCTGCTATGCTAAACACAACTTTTCTGCTAACTGTTAAGCAGCGCCGTGAAATTGGGCCCTGCCCTCAGTGAGGGCGCTCTATCTTTGCAGGGGGTCTATTCTACAGGTTTACAAACTACAAATATTTAGCATTTCACATATGCACCTGTTCATCTAGACTGGGACCTCAAGAGCAGAAAAGCATGGCAAAACAACATCTTACCAACTGGAATCATTCTTCAGCCAACAAAATTCTCTTATGTTCATAAAACAAATATAAGATCCTCAGTGCTTGACCAGCAAGGTTTGAGATCTCTGTTCCGGAGGTTTTCTTTTTCCCGACAAAGTGAAGCCAGGGGACTTGTCACAGTGCTTAAACACATTTTTAATCTGACTGTTTATGACTCGTTTTCAGACACTAGGAGAGTTTGATATTGCGTTTGTTTGTGGTGTAAATCGAGGACACACACGTGCAACGTCATCGATGAATTGAGGACGGGAACCAAATTGAGGACTCCTCGGTTAGAAAACGTGTACTAAACCAATCAGAGTTGTTGCAAAAAGAACAAACCAAAAGGAAAGAGGAACAATAAAAATCCTTGATTTACACCATAAACAAACGTGCTAGAGTATGTAAACACCAGCAATCGTGGACCTAGGACAAAAAGGTTAGGGCACAAATAATACGTCCAAGATTGACCGATAGAACACGACTGTAAATCGTATTCAAAACCAATGAGCACTGCTGCTAAAAAGTTAGAGTACAAACGAAGGAATGAGAATTAGCGACAATAGGGGTCCACGATTGCTGGTGTTTACAGGGATGGTTGTGTGTATGTGTGGATGTATACCTATCTGACAAATTTGTTTGTGGGTTCATTACTTCAGGTACTTTCAGGCTGGGGGCACACCAGAACAAGTCGTCCTGCTGCTGTCAGAAAACTACACAGCCGTTGCACAGACTGTCAATCTGTTCGCAGAGTGGCTCATCTTCACGGGTAAATAAGTCTAGACACTAGACGGGCAGTGCTAGAAGAAAAAGAATCATTATTCTTTCACAGTAGTCATCACTTTTTCTAAGCTGTGTGTCAAAACCAAATGGACGTGTTCAGATAATCCGTCACGAGGTAGCTGCTATGTTTCTCCATTGAAGAGGGCCTTGTGAGTTTACAGTGATTGCGTGCCCTGTTTCGTCTGTAGGATTGAATGTTTCCAAGAAAGAACATAGAACTGTAGTCATTCAGAGCCCCTCAAGTTATGGGACTAAATAAGGCTCCCAAAGCTGAAGCCCAATAGGAAAGCCCAATATTGGACCATGATATAAATTTTTGTTCACCAGCTTAATAGGTTTTGTGTCGCCTAAACAAAATTTTGGGAGACACTTACAAGTCCTAAATTCTGTATTTTTTAATGTAACTTGGAACAACCATGCTTTGACTGTATGTGATTGATAAACCTACCAGTTGCCTGCTTTTGTCTGTTGACTGAATTTGACTAGTAACAGTACTTGCTGTAAATATGATCTGTCTGTTGGTGACTAGCCTGTGTAAAAGGCATGGCAGGGGAAGACGATTGAATTTGTTACTATCTGTGACTGTTCAGATAGCAGGAGGGTTGTGTTCATTTGTTCCTTATTCATTATCCACTCATTCTTATTTCCAGGTGTGAATCCCACTGAGGTGCAGCAGATGGTCGAGGACCATCTCAAGGCTCTCATCATCAAGCACTTTGACCCCAAGAAGGCTGACTCCATCTTCAGTGAAGAAGGAGGGGTAAAAATCACAAGTTCTGACTGATCTTTTAAAAAATAAACTGCCCAGAAAAGAACCCTTCTTTGTTTGTCAAAAGTGGGGCTTGAAATGTTAGATAAATCCTACTTCACCACAGTGATAACTGCTCAAGACAAATCACAAAACTGCCAGTGTGGTTGGTAAAGAAAACAGTCTAGACAAGCATTTTGACTGCTAGACTTGGTTTGGTGGGTATCTGGAGAACTGAAAATATTTATGATTACATTGTTACCTGACTTTCTCCACATCAATTATAACTCAGTAAAAGTAAAAGAAAAAAGTAAAAGGGACGAACCTGTGTTCACAGGAACAGAGTGCCCATCTCTCTTTTGAAGCAATTGTGCCAGACTAAATGTAATGCTGCTGCTGTGGGGGGATCGCCACACTTCCTCCACAGCGAGTCTGTTACCTTCCGAACATTGAATAATGCTGGTCCCCTTTTAACACCTGGTTTGAGAGGAGTAATTGAGGTAAAGCGCCTTACTCAAGGGCACAACATGCATGGCCACGGCGGGACTCAAACCCACAATCCCACGATCGTGAGGCCTGTGCTCTACCGCTAGACCACACATGCGCATATACTCAACTCAGTTCATAGAACACTGGGCAGGACTAAAAGAAAGTCAGCAATTTGTATGCATAACACCTTTTTCGTATAAAACTATTCTGTAAATACATATTTTTGAAACATTTGGGTTTTTTTCCCCCCACAGACCCCAGCTTGGCTTGAGATTATGATCCAGCATCGGACGTGGCGGTCCCTCTTCTACAAACTAGCCGAGGCTCACCCAGATTGCCTCATGTTGAACTTTACCATCAAGGTGGGTTTTCATGGAGGTTATAGGAACCATCCTGAAAAATCATCCATTATCCTCCACTGTGCAGGAAACATTGGTTTCTTTTCAGGGGATATTATGCCCCTTATTGACAGTAACTCGGCACTACCTTCCTCGGTCCTCTTGACGGATTTTGACTGAATTTGATGGATTTTGAACGACCTTGGAGTGTTGGGTTATACTTGGCTGTGGGTCCCAATCCACATTCATGATGTTCTAAGTATACAGGGTGGTGCAAAAAGAAGGAAACCCACTTTTGACGGCTATTTTCACCTACTTGTTTAGCATATTTCAGAAATTCAATTTAATGGTATTAAAATATTGATCTTTAAACATAAGTGACGAAAAAGTCATTGCAAATGCATATTTTGTCTCTAAGATATGGTAGTTTAAAAATGTCACATGCCAAACCTGTTTATCCTCGGACGGCTTTATTCCATCTGCTTGACTGAGCTCCGTAGCTTGATTTGAAGACAAAAACACTACACTAGACTTACACGTGGACAACAGTGATTTTGGTGACTTGTATTCAAATTAGCATAATAAATACACCATACTTGCAATTCTATAAAAGATTTTTTTCACCACGTATGGTGAAGAGCTATACTTCACTACATTGTAAAAAAACACTGTTCAAATACGTTAAGTAAGTAGGTAACAATTCCTGTCAAAAGTGGGTTTCCTTCTTTTTGCACCACCCTATCGAGGAAGAACTACATGTACGTCTAGCCCTCATACTCATGGGCGTCGCCAGGCCAATGTGACTTGGAGGGTGTGAAAACACATCTGCCAACAAACCATTCCGTGCCGGAAGTTAGTCAGGAATATTTTTCTGGTCCTTTGTTTGACTCGAGTCCCATTTCCCGTGACTCGGACTTGGACTCAAGTCACGATGACAAATGATTCGGACTCGGACTCGACCCTGTGGACTTGCACTCAGACTCGACCTGAGTGACTCGGGACTCGACCAAAAGTACTACAAAATACAAATCACTTACTTTTTTCAACAATATTTTGAAAACAATATACCTTAATGGCTTATCCCATGGTGTTTTTTTTTGAAGTGTTATACCTGTATTTCCAGTTCATTAAATTGTTAAAAATTGTTTTAAAAAAAATGGAAAAATATACACTGCGAGGTTTATGTAGTACTTAATAGTGACTCGTGACTCGGACTTGGACTTGACTTTTGTGACTCGGACTCTTGCTGCATGACTCAGACTCAGACTCGAGATAGGTGACTTGGACTCGAACTATATGTTTGGTGACTCGAATATAAGTCTGGATTTTACTGACAAAAACGAATAATGGAGGATGTCACATGCCCCCCCCCCCCTTTAGATGATAAAATACCACCCATTTGTCAACCAGTTTTACTATTTCCACCATGACGTACAATTCACAGTTGATCTCGGATGCCGGGTACCAGGGAGAGATCGGTAATGTGTCCACAGCTTGCCATGAGATTGAAGTCTTCACCAAAGTGCTTCAAACCACAATCAATAAATTACTGGAAGGCGGTGAAGATGCAGTCATCAAACATCTGCCGGAGTTTAGTGTGAGTCATTGAAAGTCAGGCACATTTCTGTAGTTCTCGGAAAACAACTTGTCTAGTTTTAAATAATTCCAGTCGATGTTCTAATTTTTGCTTTAAGTTTGTATGCACTGCAGAATTCGTAATAAAAACATTTCATGGTAATATATGTGAGGTGGTCTGGCAAATGAGACAGAACTGGGCTGAGGTCGAAATGAGGGTTTGCAAGTATTAGGAAAGAGAATAACATTCTCCCTACAATTCTGTTTGTTGCACTTCAATTGGACATTCCGTTGACAAGTTATGGCTGTTTAAAGTTTGCAGAAAGTATAATACTGATAAAAAGACCTTTAAAGTTTTGAGTTTTGTATTCGTGAAAATAATTTTATACCCTTTCTTCAAAACATATGTAATAGACATATCAAGGATTACAAATATCAATAAATCTGAAGATTGAAACAATTCGCCCCTATTCAGTTTTTCTCTCCACCGCTACGGCCTGTGCCCACTTCCGTATCATTTTGCCAGAACACCTCTCCTATGTTTATGGATTACATTGCATCAGTCCCTGGATCATCAATCCATGGCATCAGACATTGGATCATGTTTATAAATCAGCCTGAATGCTGCTCAGACTTGTGGACTCCGCTCACAAGTACCCCCTCAAAGCTGACAAAGATCCTGAGTGTCATAGCTTTGCATGCATTCAAAATAAATTATTTGTGCGTACTTTACACTATACACATGTGAGCCAGAGCACTCTTGTATTACATACATCCCGAGGACAGTCGCACACCTTTTTGTGAAAATGGTCCTCGAATGTAGGTCTTTGCGCTTTATGGGAGAGTGTTATATTATAGGAACAAAAGGAAGCACAATGTCTGGTCCTCAGACGTAATGGTCAAATACAACTGTGCACTTCAGTTCTGCAGCAAATTTCACGACACAGTGGAAAACTTATGCCATTTGTAGGATTGACACAACAAATTTGTTATGCAGCTGTGCAATAAAGTTACGATTGATTTCACGAAAATTGGCACAGCTGGGTAACATTTTAAAATAATTTGAACATCATGGACGAGGATAATAACAGCTTTTACGATGTTTGTGTATGATGTCTGTTCGGTCACAAAACAGTAATTGAATCACCTCCCTCTGCCAGTTTGAAAATAGTTTCCGACTTGCAAAGGGATTATGTCGCAACTCGAAACTTCGTTCTCCAGTAAAATAGCAATTGAGTTACTTCAAAAACAAAGCTGTGAGTTTCTGGCATCTACATTGATATTGAGCAATGATCACGAGTAGTCTTTAAAAAGGATCAGAAATTAGTCAGTTAAAAAGTCCATTTTTAGTCGCCACGCCATAACTTACACCACTTAAAATGATTGCATCATTTTATAATTTGTTGTGCAAGTTGCAGACTTGATCACTGTAATACTTCTGTGAAATGTGTCATAACTGAAATATTGCACAACTATTGGTCTCTCTACAGAAGATGGTGTGCCACGGTGAGCATACTTACCTGTATGCCCAGATGCTGATGCATCTCCTAGCCAAGGATAAAGACGGAGGATCTATCATCCGAAGGTTGTACCAGGAGGTACAGAATGCAGGCAAGAACAAGTAAGTCACAGGTCCTATGCACAGGGCTAAAGGTCCTCCAGTTTCAGGCTTTTTACCTTACTTATTACTTGTGTTCATACTTTACTTGAATTACTAAAAAAACTTGCAAAAATGGCAGAGCTCACTTTTAATATGTCCTTGACTTAACTAGTTTTGATCTGAGATTGGAAATTTTATCCCCCTAAAGGCCGGTTCATACTTCATGTGAATATGATGCGAATTTGATGTCAATTTGACGTCACAAAGCATTCTCTGCGAAATATGCCAGAGTTGAAATGTGTTCAACTTTTGCGAGATCGCAGTGCAAAAACTTGCCCTGACGTCACAAATTTATGTTCGCGTTCGCTTTTGCACTGAGTATAAACTGGTCGTAATGTAGCTTGTCCCTGAGAAGCGTGATGAAGCCACTGCAACAGTAGAGGTCACCATCATCAAGATGAATTAAATCCAGTCTTGGGAAATTTGGCGGCGCTACCCAAAAAATTGCTAGCAAACCTCAGCGTGCTGTATTCAAGCAGATGCTCATGTGTGAGGTATGCTTGGGTAGCGCTGCCAAACTCCAAAGACTGGATTTGATTCATCTTGTTGATGGCGACCTCAACCTTCACAGCGGCTTGCTCATGCTTTTTAAGGGACCTAAAGGCATGCTGTAACTTTCTAGCTCTCTCTTTGTAACCGTTGAGGGGGTAGTTGTACACGGAGCCAATCTGGTTCGTTAGTGTGACGCCATCTCAACTTAACCATGCGTACTTCACACGGTGTAGCACAGCACGAATGGAACCGCAAGTTCTGCTTGTAATCAGTTGTGCGTGCGCGTGAATGACAAAGTCACTAATGAACCGGATAGCTTCAGGAAGAGTCTATGTTAAGTGTGGTGCTTTGTGTTTTTTGTCTCTTGTCAGGGGTGAGGGAGTGACCCAGATAAGCCTTGCGTTGAGCAGTGCCGCTGCCTACCCCAAGGCCTGCCAAGCATTGCTGTCTATGATCTGTAGGGAAGCACTCAACACAGCCGACATAACTGTGGTAAGTCATGCGGCATAATTTATGTACTACGTGTAAAAAAAAAGACCTACTGAATTACCAATGGAATTAAAACAAAATTTCAGACTGAAAAAGTTCGGGTACCTGATTCCATGTTTCCTTTTTAATACCCAAAAACCCCTACTGAAAGGGAAACACAACTTTTTATTACTAATAGAGTACCGAAGTCAACTTTTTATTATGTCATTTAGAACTGGGAAGTGTAGTGCAAATGAATGGAGTACGCGCGCGTGTTGGTTCACAAGCTGAATCACGCGCGAATGTCTTTTACACACATAATTGTGCGCGTGACGTATTCACTTCGGTACTCTATTAGTATGTATCCAAGGAATGCTTAACTTTACTTTGAATCCAATTGCGGACAAGTTCTGACAGAGAGCTTGGGATGTTATGTGTTAAAATTGGCTATAGAGGCATTTTTGGAACACCACCGGTATGTAGGTCTCGTTGAGTGGGAAACACATTGCTTTTGTGTTTGCTGTGTGGTTGCTTGGTAACCCAATCATCACGGCGACAGATCTCTGGTTCCGAAGTTACCCGTAAAGGCACTTTGGTAGGGACTGTGATTGCACTGGTCTAGAATGGTCATATATCAAGCTTAAAAAGAATGTGATATCATTATGCCAGTCAAGCACAAGCTTAGACATCATTTGCATCACACATGGTAAAGTGCTTGGTGTAGCATATTGCACAGAGTATCAGATGTGTGAGGTGCATTCTATGAGTCTGTAAGAGAGCAAACTCGGTGGTGAGTAGTCTGCGCTAGTAAGCAGGAGGTTGTGGGTTCGAGTCCCATCCGCGTGATTTTTTCTCTATCACTCAGGGGCAACTCAGAGTGTACGAGATTTATAAAATCGGTGAATGGCAAAACACAAAATCGAATATACATCACCTCGACGCAAATTCCATCTTATGAATAGTTTCATTGAAGCACCCACTGCTATACCAGATTCGAACCAGCCAGCTGACCCCGGCAAGCTTGATGGTCGAGTGGTAAGACGTCTGCGCTAGTAAGAAGGAAGTCATGGGTTCGAGTTCCACCCGAGTGATTTTTTTCTCACAATCACTCGGGGTAATACTGAGTATATAGCGTTTACAAAATATGTTGGTAAAGGGCGAAACCCAATATTGAATCTCTGTTGACAGTTGTTATGCGTGACACCTTTTTTACACCCTTTAGGAATCACGGCACTGTCCATTTTATCTTGAGTAACGTGCATCCCTCGGCTTGAAAAACATCATGTTCCACATCACAGCAGTCAAGTATTGTTAAACTATTCACGTTTTTTGCCATGTAGCTGTTCAAGCTGTACATGGGCCCTGACCCACCGCCGGTTGAACTGATCCGAATCCCTCAGCTCATGGAGCTCTTCAAGCAGACGTTGTTCAAACCGGGAGCCAACGTCAATCCTGAACACAGAAACAAGTACACCTACCTACTGGCCTATGCAGCTAGTGTGCACGAGACGTTCAAAAAGGTAAATAAATAACGGCGGGGTTGTTGAATCAAGTCACTGCATTTTTAGTTTTGCAAATACCCTCAGGTTACCATTTCATTGAGCTGGTAAGCAAAAAAAAATTGACGAGGATAGAAAAATTATTGCATTGCAACTAGGGAACAATGTGAGGGCCCAGTCTTCACTGCGTGATAATGACCGGCTTTCGGCTCGGTCCATTAACAGCGGCCATCTTCCAACCTGCAGGGCCCAATGTCATAGAGCTGCTTAAGCCAAAAATTTGCTTAAGCACGAAAAAATATTGCTTAGTAAAATTAGGTTACCGGCCAAAACTCCATGTGATGTACATTGCTTGTGACTGGTATTTAGCTGTTGTTTACTTAGCATAACAATCGCATGGAGTTTTGGCCAGTAACCTGATTTTATTAAGCAAGACGTTTTTGTGCTTAAGCAAATTTTGTGCTTAAGCAGCTCTATGAAATTGGCCCCTGCAGCTGGTCATTATCATCGATCGAAGACTGGCTCGTCACACTGTTATTCCCATTAATAAATACCTTTTTAATGAAATAAACATTTAAAATGCTCCAATTTTGTGACTTTTCTTTCGGCAATATTTCCAGACTTTTCGTGTTCATGTTCAGTGGCCTTATTTCAGCTTATGCGTGGTACCCTGTCTCTTAAATACGCGTTGTTATATACCACCCTAGCGGGCCCAGGCTGTGCTGGACGATGTCTCCATTGCATTACGACTGACATCCAGGGTATGAACTTCTGCTGCCGTAGTGAAACAAATTACAACAATTTTTTTTTTCTTCATATTTTTACCTGATAGAGGAAGCTGAAATTTCGTGTACGTATTCCTTGTGTCCAAAATTACAAAGATGCTCGGTTTAGAAAAGTAAATATGTCCGTGGGCGACGTGTTTACAGAAAATAAATCGCAGATCGATCCACGCTTTCGTCGTAAACATCCTCAGCACTGCAGGATCGCCTATTGCAGGATCTCTTGTCTTCTTGAACATTTACATTGTTTTGCAAATGTTGCTTTTTAAAGGGAATGTACAACATGGCTTTTGCTGCAATTTTCAGATATAAGTGCATTTGGAGGATTTATTTGTTTTAGCAAATATTGTTAAACTGACTTGCTTCACTTTTTTGGCTTGTAGATGCTGGAAAAACCAAGAAAACCAATTATATTCTTGTAGTCTGGTTCCCTGACCCCACCTAAGGGAGCAATTCATAGACTTTGGGGAATTGTATGGTCAGAGTATCAATTAAGCTGGCTTGTACTCGTTCACAGGTGTGTAATCAACTGCAAAGAAAATGTGGAATAACTAAATATAAGAAATATGGAGTAGTTTTTGAAAACAGCCAGTTTTCTCCAGCGCTGGTCGGCCAACCAGCGTTGGAAATATACAAATTTTCTTGAAAATGTCAGCACACCAGGAGCCACAATGTTACAGGATGCTTTAGACTGTCATTCCCTAACAATCCAGTACGGTATTTTGTGATAATTGGATCATTTCGTTTTTTGATGTTTGCAAATGTTGTATCTTTCCTTTAAATCAGTTAAGATTTCAGAAGGAAGAAGGTGTTTATTTGATTGTGTACCAGATTTCTCTTGATTTGTTTTTTTTGCCAGGAGAAACGAATTACGTTGAACAAGGATGAACTGAAGCCTACGTGTCAAGCCATAGATAAGGTGTACAACATCTGCAGCTGTGATCAGAAAGTGGGTTCCGAGCTGACCGCTGAGCTGACTGCCTTCTATCAGTGTATAAGGTACAACAGGCTCTCGGCCACTGGGCTGGTCTCAAACTTTGAATGACTGAAATGTTTGCTTAGGTTAGGCTCACATTATGGACTTAGTGCTAAAATAACACATGGCCCTGTGTGTGCTTCTTTATACAAGAGCGACTAGTGAACATCATACTGCGTGCACACATGTGAATATGGTGCAGATTTTTCACAAATAATTTTTGTTTGAATGTGCGTAAACTCCTAGCATCTCTGGGATACCACTGGGCAGAGTGGCAGAGTCTGTCTTATGTCTCGCCGTCTGTCATCATATGAGGGTACTTGTGCACAGGTCCAATGGGAACTTAAAGCTATAGTCCATCATTTGCAGCCATCCGAAAAAGTAACTGGCTTATTATTGTTGAAAAACATACTTGGTTGAAAGATAGTAAGTGGACTAAACTCCCTGTGAAATTAATCTTTCTGGCAAGCTATCATTTTGAAGTAATCAACGAAAGAAGGCCTTTCCAACGGTGCGTCTTAAGACGCACCGTAGGAAAATTTAAATTAGTAGTTCCTTTTGTTATTCGGCGCAGCGCGCGCAAGCATTGGCACGACCCACAGGCGTGCGCGGTTGCTATAATTCGTCGGATCAGTGCGCGACATCGCGTATAGCTGCAATTCAAAACAATTCAAAACATGATTCAGCAACTTTTGATTTGAAATTGAGATCCTAGAATGTTGTTTTTCTCAGAATATACAGCTGAAGCTGAGCTGAAACTTCATCAGGTTAGTTGTTCAGTATCCTTCATTAGATTTTGAACACTTTTTTTGCTTTAAACGAACAAAATGCACAAATTACAAATGATGGACTATATCTTTAAATGAATCTAAAAACAAAATTTGTTTTGTGTATAACTGTGACTGTATCTGTGATATGTGACTGCATGAAAAATGTTGCTTTAAAAGTGCATTAGTTGGCACTGTTTAAATTGCCAATACTTTTTCCTGGCACTTGAGGGTGCTGTTGCTCTGATATCACTTATAGCATCCACTTCAACAATTTCATGTAAAACTTTAAAAATGTCCAAAAAAAAAACCTGTGAGATTAGTCAGGATTTTTTGTCAGGATTTTTCCAAATTTGAGGAATTTTAAAGATTCCTTTTGAATTCTGGAAATGCTGAGGTTTTACTGTGAACGTGTTTTTATCTATAAAGGTATTAAGAAATTGGTATTTTAGGGGTGCCTTTTGGCAAATTTATACAAATATATACCATGTACCCCACGATGTTCTGGGGCCCTTGGTGATCCTCAAACCCTCTGCTGATTATTCCTTGAATTTTTCATTTATTAACAATCTCGCCCCTGAAACTGTGTAAAAAAAAAAGTCAGTTGGAATACTTAACTGGCTTATTACAGCCTATTTTCCATATCAAGGTTATATTGCAGAGAGCAATGCAAAAAAGACCCACACTGCAGCGCAGACATGTGGAAACATTTCATCCGCAAAGGTCGCCGACAACCCAGGCAAAACTATCTTGCAGCCGTTTCGCAAAGTTGAACCCAGTTCCGTGCCATGTCTGCGCAGTCTGCAAAAGCTTAACGACGATATGGAAACTAAGATGACTAAGAATGAAAGTGACCACATATGATCCTTCCTAATGGACCGATCCAGTAAGCCCCGCCCACTGCGCACTGGGCAAATTAACATGTGCTCCTCTCCAATGCCACACTGCATTTTCCTGCCGCGCGCATCATACGCACGTGCACGCATGTCGGACATGTCGGACTTTTGTGCACGCACGTCGGACATAAATCACGGCTGTGATTGGTCAGAACACCATGGGGCGGTGCTTACTGGATCGGTCCATTGTTGAGTGGGAGCCTCAATTTAGGCCTGTGTATAATGCTTGGGTGTCTGGATTTCCTCTCCTGTCTGTCTGCTAGGTACCCTGTTGTAGCCCTGGGTGTGCTGTACTGGGTCGACAAAACGGTTCTAGACCCCGCCTACTTTCAGCGGATCACTGACCACACCCCTCTGCATCTCATTGTACTGGATGAGGTAGGACCCTCGTAATCCAGTCAGAAAAGTTTCTTTATTATTTGAAATCTCTCATGCGTGTACAAAACAAAATCAATACTCGTCTTTCATATTTAATTGTATTTTAAAGAGTTTATTTATTAATTTCATTTACACATTTAAAAGTTTGTGATAGGGACTATACATTTTGATAAAGTAAAAATGAATAACAGTATTTTTGTGGGACTTTTTTTTAAATAAACCACTAGGTGCATTACACTTAGTTTTATAGTTGAACAAAAAGATTCACTGGAGTAAAGATCTGTCTGTTGTGAAGTAATTATACCTTATTTGAAGGAGGGTAGATTTTTTGGTTCAATTTTTAAATCAATTAAAAAGGAAGACAGCAGGTAAAAAAATGGAATCAAACAATTTTATGCAACTACATGTATTAAAAAATAACACTTGTTCCATGCAGGAAAAATAAGTGCACTATGTGGCCTTCTCATGAGTGGCCAAGTGTGCAGGACGAACCGTTCAAGTGTCTTTCAAATTTCCCTCTTTGTCACCATTGGGAGGGTACTGACGCAGATCGTTCACCCAATTCAGGCAAATTTTGTGGGTATTTCCATATCAACAACCCTACAACAGTCCTTGGCATCAAGACACTCACTCAGAATGTCCTTTGTTTTCTGTCTCCCCAAGGTTGTTAACTGCCACCCACTTATTCACGGCAAAGTCCTGGAACTTCTTATCAGATTATTTGAAGATCCGTACCCACAACTGGATGTCCTTGTGCAGGTGAGTGGTCTCGTGTTAGGAAAACTTATACAATTTAAAAGGTGAGGAAAGTTGGTATTCGTCACTGTCGCATAGTCACTGTGATTTGTGACACTCAAAACCTTTTTTTGGCTGATTTTTTTTTGAGTGGTCGGGCACAACCCGACCACTCTTTGGATCTGTTACGATTAATCTTTCTTTCTTTCTTTCTTTCTTTCTTTCTTTTTTTTTCCGGACAATACTTCTCCGCGGGTTTTCTCTTAAACGGTATATGGTATGAACTTGTAACTTTCAATATATATCGACCCTCATCCCTAGTGGTGCATATTACTCTGACGTCATGATTACGTCATCAGGTGTCAAATTACAAGTGATTTTATCTGAAAAAGTGACCAATTACTTTCACCTATAACTCTTGAACTAAATATTCAATGATGTTTGTATTCTGCAATCAGATAGACCATTAAACGCTTAACAGTTTTTGTCGTGTACGTGAACTCGCTTGACCTTTACTTCCGGGTCTACCGGAAGGTCAAAGTTAGGTGAATTCCAAATGAAGACGTTAGCCTGACATCAAAACAAGGCAACATTTCTTCCAAACGGTTCACGGTATGATCACAAAACCTTGTGTGAACTTATACCGTGTTACGAAGATGTTATAAATTTTGTTACGTCATCATGACGTCATCAGGTATCAAATTACAAGCAATTTCAGGGCAAATTTTGACAAAATAGTTTGCTTTATATCTTGTGAACTAAATAGAGTATTGTGTTCGTTTTTTCGTGAGGTTGTAGACTATACCGTGAGAAACATTTCGTGTTCCCGGACGCAAAACTGCTTGACCTTTACTTCCGGTGTTACCGGAAGTGCAATAAAAACTGAATATAACTCAAAAGCGGAAGCATTTTACTACAGACATATATATTATGAAAGTGTTTAGTGAGGAATGCAAGATGCAAAAAGCAGTGTGATGACGTCATAATCCGAAAGGGCGCCCCCTATCGGCACATAAAATAGAGTTTCCCTTCTTTAAATGTAAAACCATCCGTCCAAATTTTATCAAATCGCCCCTTGACATTCTCTGATTAACCACAGATAACTTGGCAAGGTTTCAAATTCATGACGTCATCAGACCGGAAGTTGCCTTAAGGAGAATTTGAAAAAGATCATAGTTTTAATTTAATTCTATCATTTGATCCCTGTCATATTTCCGAAGTCCACATAATGATATCCATTACAATGTTCACCTTTGGATCTCTAATGCTGTGATGTCATCAAACCGGAAGTTAGGTGTTATCAATACGTCATCAAACCGGAAGTTAGGTGTTATTAATACAAACAATTATATTTCCCATATTTTCATACGTTATTTTAACTTTACAATGAGAAATTATCCTCTCCGAACTTTATCAGTATTCATTCACCATTTTTGACTGATTACGTCATTAAACCAAAAATAACTTTTTGTGCACATAGAATGTTTACTGAAATTTATTACACCGTTAAAGATACCTTTTTGAAACATTGATTGTACTTGAAGGGTTTTAATGTCCTGATCCTTTTTTCTACATAAACATATATTCTTAACTTAACTGGGCAGTGTATAATGAAAAGGCTGTCCGCCCGACCACTCTGCGTTTGTAACTAAACAAACGCGAAACTCTAGTTTATGATTGTTTTACAAAAAAAAGTGAGGTTCCCTATAGCAAAACCAGGCTGAATCTGGAAACAGTAACATGGCATTCAATTTATGCAAAAAACATCTAAAGAACACAGACTCATTGTCAAGATGTAAGATTTTGCTCCATTAGCCTTCTGTATAATGATTGCTCTTGTCATATAATACACAAAGGGAAATTGAATAGGTGCATTTTTTGTCAAACGTATTTCATAATTTCTTATTATGAGTGGAAAAAAGCTTAAGATTTATTTATGAAGCAGTGACTTGCTTGGGTTCAGCATGGGATGTCGCAATATTTAGTGGGAGGAGTAGATTCTAGTGCAACTGAATACCGTTAAGCAGTGTCTACAAGTAGTTCCCCAATAAATCACCAAGGTGAAAAGCAGGTTTTGTGCTCCCCCCCCCTCTCCCCGGACAGCTTGTCTGTTTTGTGCATCACTTGATTTGAAAATTTGCCAGTCATGATCGATCAGGTGTGGTTCTGTGTTCTTGGGCTGTAGGCTGCAGTTTTAATCTATGTGAGTTTCCTTGACATTTTTGAAAATTTAAAACCTGGCAGGAAGTGTAGCAGTATTAAAAGAAAGTTACATTACAAAAAACTTTTAAAACAAATTTGTAAACCTTCAAACGTTGTTCACCCCAAAAGAGATTTGAGTTAAGAACATTGTCAGGACAAAGCTTCTTAAAAGCAGTTGTGAAAAAAGCAGAAACAACATCTGAAGATTTGAATTTTTAGAAGGGTTCTTACTACTAACTTGCTCATTGATGTCATCATGATGCAGATGGAGCTGAAGAAGACCATTTTAGATCGCATGGTGCATCTTCTCAGCAAAGGCTTTGTTGTGCTTGTTGTTCAGTACATCGCCAAGTGTGTAGACGATTCAGACACCGACATGTCTCTCATCAGACATTTCGTGACAGAGGTGAGAAGGCCTAGTGAAACTCCCCCCTTCCTTCCCACTCCCCAAGTCACTTACTTGGCTATTTCAAGTTGGTTTCTTGTCAAACAAAATAACCATTTATAGTTGGCCTTTTTTAAATTTGATGCAGGAACAATCGTCTGCCTTGTCTATACGTATTTGTAACGGTGACTGAAGCCATCAAATTTGCCAAATTGTCAATTTAAGTCTGTCACCACAGACAAATGCACAAGTGACATTTTACTGTGAGATGTCAGGTCCCATGCTATATTTTAATTTCAGAATTATGAACATGTTAGTCCCAGTGCAAACAAGTTTGTTTACATTTCGAAAAGAAACATGTGACGAGGATGACGACTAGCATTCTGACAGCTCGATTTTCGAAGACCAACATTTTATGACCTTGACATTCTTTTACACTCTTTGAACCTTTTAATTCAATTCATTAGACCTGAGACATAATGACGTCTTGCTTTGTTTACATGTGCGCTTTCTTATGAGGGCATGGCGCTCTCGTCCCCACCTGGCTCCCATGGGAAAGCGCACACGTAAACAAAGCTTGACGTAATTATGTCTCAATGTTATTGAAACCAATTTTATTCTCCACCATGGAGAACTCAAGTAGCCTTGTACATACACACACACTCTACATGTTCTGACATACACTGAACAAATTGTCTGCTCTCCGACCTTTGACCCAGGTGCTGGACATGATTGCCCCGCCCTACACCTCTGAGTTTGTCCAGCTCTTCCTGCCAATCATTGAGAACCAGGACATCACGGGGACATTACGTAATGAGGACGGCAAAGATCCAGTCTCCAATTTCATTGGTAAGAATGTGAGAGTCGGTGATGTCGTCAAGATCTCGCATATTCAATTAATTATGCAAATTTCAGATACGAAATGAATTAAAGGGAAAATACAACATTTGCAAGCATCAAAAAATAAAACTACCAAATCATTTTGAAATACCTTGCTGGACTGTTAGTGAATGACAGTGTAAAGCATCCTGTAAAATCATGACACCTGGTATACTGTCATTTTCAAGAAAAGTGGTATTTTTGTATCAATTTCCAACGCTGGTCGGCCGACCAGCGTTGGAAGAAAACTGTTTTTTTCTCTCAAATATTGGCCCCAATTGACCATCGCACTTGTTTGCAATCGATTACACACCTATGAACGGGTACAAGCCAGCTATACTGGTTCCCTGACCTTACAATTCCCCAATGTATGTAAACTGCTCTGTTTCTTCTGATATGAAGTCAGGGAACCAGACTACAGGAAAATGATTGTTTTTCTTGGTTTTTATAGCATTTTCGAACCCAAAACCTCAAAAAAGTCAGTGTAACTATATTTGCTATATATTTCCAACCCCCCAATTCCATCCATTTCTGAAAATTACAGCAAAAGCAAATGATGTATATTCCCTTTAAGTAAGTATTCTGTAGACCAATCCATGCAAAAACATTGTGTTAGCTATTGTTCAGATAATCTGTGATGTGGCAGTTGCTCTGTACAATAGCGTGGACAATGGTTTCACCATTGAAGGGGCCGCGTGGGTGTAATTAGCCTTGGTCATTGCGTTCGTCTATAGTGTCTTTGATGATCATTGACTGGCCACTACCATGAACACTAGCCATGCGCTATGCACTGTAAGGAGTGTGAACAATGACCTCACGCATCTAGGCTACAATATGCAAATCAGATGGTTCTGACTGAACATCTTGGAACAACGGTTGCATTGGCTTATTTTTGTCTCTATTTTGTCGCTGGATTTATATCCTGTTAAATTTGGCCTGCGACTCCAAACTTGTTGAAGAATGTAGCTACAATATCCAGCTCTCTATCTACGTAAAAATATGAACGTTAATGACCAAATACTGAATTAATCTCATCTGTATTCGCATGTGAGGTCATCCCTGGAAATCCAGTGACAAATTGTAGAAAAACATAAGCCAATGCCAACCGTTGGTCCAAGGCGTTGGGGTGGCACCAACTGATTTGCATATTTAGCCTAGCCGCGTGAGGTCGCTGTTCGTGCTTCATAGAATGCATAGCATGCGGCTTGTGTTCATGTTAGTGGTCGGTCATTGATCATCCAGGACACTATTGATGAACGCCTTGACCAGGGCCAGAGTGGTCAGTGATCAGGTGCCCCGATTTTTCAATAACTTCATAATCACATGAAAGAATACTGATATTTTGGTCAACTTTTTGTCGGGTAAAAGCTTGTTTTTTTAGAGCTGAAATCTCAATGAGACCTCAAGACCTTTCGAGTCCTTTTTAGGGATCCATTGCCCCAATTCGGGCATTTCACAATGCAGTGCGCCACCAAGAGTTTGCCACGGAGAGTTCATTTCTCCCAGTGCATTGTGTGAGATGGTCAACAAATTCGCAGCGCTGGCTATTTGAAATTGTTAGTTTGTCCGGTCAGTAGTTTCGTAAGCGTACGATTCAAGTATCTGTTTGCCCTTTTCTTTTCTTTTTAGCAATATGGGTTTTTTGTAAGGCGGCAGAACGCTATGCCCCAATCCTTAACAAATTAGCTCAAGTTGTCTACTGATACTCGTTCCAATTAGCCGTAAGCTTGAAAAATGGACTCTCCACGGCAAACTCTTGGTGGCGCACTGCATTGTGAAACGCCTGAATTTAATGATAATTTTAAATCCGGCTTCATCATTAGAACAACACAGTTGATTTGTGTGTTGAAAGTCTTTGCTGACAGGTTTGATGCAAATCAGATCTGATTTTTTATTTATACAAAAGCATTTGTGTGAGGTCTCAGAATCGACCTGGACTACATCACTCATGAGAGTGTTCCGTCAGATTTGTTAAATCCCTGTGTTCGGTGGAGATTAAGTTTTTCAAGTCACTAATAATTGCAGCAATACTTTCTGGTTCATTGTTTTTTCCCGCAGTTCACTGCAAGACCAATTTCATAATGATGACCTGAATTCGCCACTAGAGGGCAGCAGACCTGTGAGATAGACGAGAGACACTGGGCCACATTGAACAGAACCTTCTACAGAAGAGCAACCAAATCTGCATGACAAGGCAGCCAACACAAACTTGGTTTGCCTTGAAAAAAAAGTTTTGCTATCTTCAGAAGGCTTTGTCGCTTGGCACAAAATGACAATAGTGATTGTGCCCATTGCACAATGGGGCTGCTTCTGTGCACATTGTGCTCAAATAATGACTGAAAATAATGTTGAATGGCCTAATATATGTACTACAGCATTCAAGTGGTGCAGAGAATACCATAGACTTGTTGACCCAACTCATCTCTTTCCAATTTGAGATCCGCTGTGTTTTAAACACATCTGATGTCAGGAGAATTACCAACAACAGTTAGTACATAGCTGCTTCTTTGAAAGCATCTACAAGAGTGACATACTGAAAATTCATCATGGTTTTTCTGGAATATTAAAACCTTTTTCTAGAATGTCCATTGGTTTTCATTCAAACTCCTGGACATTTTCTGGTAGCCTTGTCTAACGTACATGATGCTGATGGCAGTTACTATTTTGGATGATCCTCTTGTATCTCTATGCCAGTTCTGACATGAAGTTTTTTTTCTGACATGAACAGTTTTTTTTACAAAGGCTACAGAAGAAATTTTTCAGTGATCAAAGTAATACGCCATTTGAATCATTTAAACAAGAAGTGGTCTCACAAAACCACCGTAATATGGTACAAATCACAATTTGAACAAAGAAATTCACTGGAGCGAATTTGAAGTGGAGTGGGCTCCGTGCATAAATACCCCCTCAACGGTAAAAATAGGAGAGTTGGGGGGGAGACCACTGGGACAGACATTCAAATGCATTGCCGATGCACACCTGATGCACATGTGAAGACGCTATATGGCATTGTGCACATTCGGAATGAAATTAGTTGGGCCTGTTTCACGCTATTTGCGTGCAAACCAGTATGCGCATGCGGTATGTCCCGCCAACTGGGCTCTCAAAAAGCGCCCTCTCTTGTTTGCACACGGAGCCCATACCGTACCAATGCTCTACCAACCGAGCTATCCAGCCCTATGTTGGTGGTTTCCCTAAAAGCTGTACTGTTAAAAATGTTCTACATGTGAGAATGCATCAGATGAGGAGATGTACTGTGCAATCCTGAAATAAATTGGGCACTGTTACCAACCCCCCACCCCCTATTTGTTCCCTGGTCAACACCCTCTCTCTTACCCACTTGTTTTGTTTTTCTCAAGGCCTATAGGCCCTACCATTGTTCCTTTCCTTTGTGTCAACTGAAAACCAGCGAGTACACCGTAGCAGTTAAATCAACTCCATTTCAGAGACGACAACAGTTCCCTTCTGTTGCACTAACCCATCAAAGAAACTGATCACTTAACACTACGGGACCTTCGATCTTCAGAAGTCAGTGACACTTCTGTGAATTCAGGTTGTCGCGGGTCAATTGAGGTCGTGGGTTTTTTCCAGCTGGAGGCTTTGGATAGATCAGCTTAATTGACGGGGAATCTGGGCCACGGGCCAAAACCAAGCCAGTGTAGTTGACTTTCGTTTCCTCAGAACCAGGAAAATGTGTTCCATAAAGCCCAGTTCATACATTGCCAGATATCTTTCTCATTATATACTCTGACTGTATGTCAAATGCCATGCTTGTACCATCAAAGGCGCAATCCCATCACCTTTCTGCCGTACTGTAGCGTTAGGTTTGGAAACAAGTTACCTAAATATTGGTGTTGCTAATATCACAGCAGGAAAGTGGTCACTGGTCACCTCTTATATGTAAATTGTCAGTACTTTTCCTCTATATCATGTAGCTCTATTCCTATTTACAGTGCTCATCATTGCCTTCATCAGAAAGTTACTTTGTGAAATTGATTGTAAATAAAAGGCTTGTAAATAAACAAATTTCAGCATCGGCTTTTGAGGTTCTTTATTTTTTTGAAGCACTTGTTTTAATCTCCCTAAAGCTTCTAAACCGCACCGCGTGTATGTCAACAACCAAGCCGCAAGTGCCGGCATGTCGGTAGGCCTGCCCGCTGAAACCACAGCGTTTCCGCGGTCACGGACAACAATTACAGTGTCACAACAGTGTCACTAATGGGGACCGTATATCAATCTTCAACTCGGTGCATGTTTATTTGTAGAAGTTTTTGAGACGGCGCTATTTCACCCGAATTGGTAGTGTGTGGTACTGAAATGTGTTTTACTCGGGTGCGTTGTAACAGAGGAAGGAAGCCATATGACATTAGGGTGCATATCTATGTTCCTCAATACCAAAGTCGAGTTCCCAATACCTATGTTCCCCAACCCTAACCCACTAAACCTAACCCTTCCCCTAAGGATTCCGGTGTACATAAGCATTGGGGAACATAAAGGTCCGGGGAACATCGGCTAGACCCCGCCACATTAAAGGAACATATATATAATCATTTGCTCTTTGTGCAATTTGTTCATTTGAAGGAACATTGCTCAAAATCTTGAGTAGGGTGCGTAACAACTCATCCGTTGGAGTTTAACATCAGCGGCAACTTTACATTTTGAGAAAAAGAGAATTCATATGCGCAATGATTGTTGGTGTCGCTAACAGCGCACGTACACAGTTGAAACAACCTTCAATGATAACTTTTTTCGATCGGATCCATTTCTGGCTGAATAATTTCACACTGAGTACACTACTTGGGTTCAGCCCTAAGGCTTCACTTTAAGCAATGTTATTTTCTCATTACATCTACATCAATAGGTACTTAATTAATTTACGAGTAATAAAATGTTTCTATCTGCCTTTGAAAATCAACCAAGGCTTTGATTCGTTCCCGGCCCCCTTTCAACAAAAGAGAACGAAACTGAAGCAAAGATTTATATTGATGAAAAGGTCACAGATGTCAGAACTTTTAAGTCAATTGTGTATTGTGCATGCGCACTGCAGATTTCAAGGATTTCCAAAGGAACATCATCAGAAACTGTTAATTGCACAGATAGTTTTCCCTCTCTACAAAATTGTCGCACCCAAAACAAATTCTTTTCAATCTGAAGGATCTTTTAAGTTGTTTAACTTGAAGCAGTGCAGATGGTATAAACCCGTTCAAAATTTAGTGGACACGTCAGATTGTCAGAAATAACAGTATACGTTTCTGGAACTCTTCGATCTTACTAAAAAAAAGGGTCAACTGTAAGAATAACATCTGCAGATTGGATCTGGAACGTGGATCATAGAATCGTGTTTCTGGTGTACCAAAATATACGCTGATGACCATGAACCGGGTATCGTATGTAGGCCTTGACCTCCATGGTAGAATTTTAGATGTGGAGCTGTAGACCTACAACAGTAAGTTCTTGTTCTCCGAAACCACGCCATGGAGCAATTTACTTTCCGTACTAAAAGCCGCACATTCCGATACAGCATCCAGCATGAAGCGAGACGGCACTACACAGGCATGCTGGGCTGGCAAGTGTAAGCATCATGGAAGGAATAGTGAATGGATTAGCAGCTTATCAACCTAGTTTATATGGCAATAAAGATACAGTCTTTGTTTTTCAACGGGGCAGCCTCGGTTTTTGTGCATGTGCCACTAATGGTGATTCCGAATCCGTGCAAAATTGGTTACTGGGTATGTGCTGCGAGTTGCACAAAGAACCAAATCGAGGCTAAACTTCAAAACTGAGACTCGCATAATTGCGAAAATACTGTAACCTATTACAAGAATCCTTTTGCTTCCATTTCAGCCTCGTCTCTTTGAAAATCTGCTGGGCTAGGGCTAGGGACGAACATTTCCCACACATCCGGAACTCCCAAATTCCTTGTACCTGGAATAAATGTATTCCCTCATGATCATGACGCATGTAATTTCGTAGAATCTGTGCCTTATCCGGCCGCGCCGGCAGGCAGGTATTAAGTGTTGGGGGTCGGGTAAGGGGTCAGAATGGTCCAAGGTCGTATTCGGAAATTTCTAACCATCTGTTGAACCATTATCCTTGCCCAACACGGAGACACGCGGGCCTGCCTATGCCGAGTATACATGTAGATTGTTCGGCACTGGTGGTTTGAAATCCAGGTATATATAGTGGGCCCTACACATCAAGCACAGTATTAAACTGCAAGAACCGATGGCACTTTTAGAAAATTGGGATCTAGCGATTGTTCTTTTAGCTAGCATGTGACTACACGGTGTATGTGGTTTGTACAAACTGGAAGATGCTTGCTTAAACTTGACAATAGGTCTCGATCTTCATGCGCGCCATACAAATGACGCAATAGAACGTAGAAGTCATGATTCTGAGGTTGCACTGCCAAGCTTTTTTTCCATTCACATACAGCCAGCAAGATATCTCAAATGCCATATACACACCCTAGACTATTGCTACCTAGCACCCAAGGAACAGACATGGCGTTTCAAAAGTTGCAATATTCAATATTTTGCAATACATATGTTGGATATGTTCATTATGTGTTTGTTATCTTTTACATTTATGTGCGATGTTCAATATAAGTGTGCGATGTTTTTCATTATTTGCGCGATGTTTAATATATTTGTGCGATGTTTTACAATATATGTGCGATGTTCAATATATGTGTGCGATGTTTTACATTTATATGCGATTTTCAATTCATATGTGCGATGTTTTTGACGATATATATGTGCGATGTTAGTTCAATATTATGTTCGATTTTTTTGCATTAAATGTGCGATGTTTTTCGATACAATTATGTGTGTTGTTTTACAATATATTTGCGATATTCTCAAATATGTGAGCAATGTTTTACACATATGTTTGATATTTCGAGCTATTTGTATTCGATGCATGGTTCATCGGTATGTTTGCATTCGATCTTTTGCAATATGCATTTGATGTTTCCCTTTTCATTCGATGTTTCGTTAAGAGTCAAAGTCTGGTTACTAGACCGCGAAAGTCTGACTATTTTGCCTAAAGTCAGTGTATGAGACGTCAGGGGATCGCGTGAAGTAATTAGAGCCAGACCTAAACGGTAAAAACCGGAATTGTGGGTAATTCTTTAAGCATACGCAATGCGTTCATCATTGTTTGGGCAGTACCCCCAGCTGTGCCTGTACTACCCATAGTGTTGTGTGCAGCATCTATGCATTGAGGAGTGCATGACACATGGTCTGAGCTCCAAGGCCGATGTGCACCTGTCCCAGTTACCTGATAATTTGTCAGCATAAGCTGATGTTAAATTGGGCAAAATTAGATGTTTATGAAAAAAAATCAAATTGTAAGGGGTTAACCTTGCATTTTTTTTAGCAAAATCGGGAAAAATCAGATGTTTCTGGAAAATTGCAGATTGTATGGGGTTAGATGTTTATGAAACATTTCAAATTGTAAGGGGTGAGCATTGCATATTTTAGCGCAATTGGGCAAAATCAGATGTTTCCGAAAAATTTCAGATGTAAGGGATTAACCTTGCTTTTTTAGTGAAATTTTGCAAGGTTAGATGTTGCGAAAAATTTCAAATTGAAAGGGGTTAACCTCGCATTTTTTTAAAGCGAAAATGGGAAAAAATCAAATGTTTCTGGAAAATTGCAGATTGTAAGGGGTTAACCTTGCTTTTTGAATAAGATTGGGAAAAATTAGATGTTCGTGAAAAAATTCAAATTGTAAGGGGTTAACCTTGCATTTTTTTAGCAAAATAGGACACAATCAGATGATTCTGGAAAATTGCAGATTGTTAGGGCTTAACCTTGTATTTCTAGCAAAATTGGGCAAAAAGAAATGTTTATGAAAAATTTTAAATTGAAAGAGGTGTACCTTGTATATTTAGTGAAATTTGGCAAAATCAGATTTGTATGAAAAATCTAAAATGGTAAGGGGTTAACCTTGCTTTTTTAGCAAAATTTGGAGCATATTTTACTAAAATTGGGCAAAATCAGATGCTTCTAAAAAATCCAGATGTAAAGTTTCCGCAAAAACAGCTGTTGAAAAAGAGCCCAATGTTGAACTTTACTGAGTCTGAGGTCTATTGAGGGGACGATCATTATTTCAACTCCCGGAGATTCGCTGACAGTCTCTATTTTCTTTTTAAGAAAGTCGAAATAGCTGAAGAGGGAGGTGAGAATCTATATGTGCCCAGATACAAAGAGTAGAAATCTACGCGTCTGCCTTTTGAAAATACACAATTGCGGTGTTCATTCTTGCGTAATGATCGGCCTAGCACACGACTGTTTT